GGGGGGGGGGTCAGCCCCACCATTTGTACAATTTTAAATCCCCACCACCTAGGGATGCTTCCAGTCGAATTTAGTTGAATTCCAATCAGTGGTTAAGAAGAAGAAGTCGTTTAAAGAAATTGTTGACGTACGGACGGACGGACGACGGACGCAACGGTATGGCATAAGCTCGGACCAGGTTAGCTAAAAACACAGAAAACATTTAAAGAATATTCAGTTAATATTATAATGTAGTAACCTATTTTTTTGCAAACGCAAAATAGATTAAAATAATCAGAACCTTAAAAAAACAAGTACGAATTTAACACATATCCTCTTTAGAGCAAATGCACTTATCAAATACAAAATAAACATAGGCTACCTATGTCAAATAATGTGGAAGAGTGAGAAAAATTCCACTGATTTTATATAACAAATATCGATCTTGTTTGCAGAGGAAGTAACTCAAAGGGTCGGTCGATTTACCCAATACTACCCAATACAAACATCGATTTACCCAATACAACCCAATTCTATCACCGATTTACCCAATACAACCCAATACTACCCAATAAAGAAAGTTAACACCCAATAAAACTGATATACCAAATAAGTATTCTATTAAAGTTAAATATATGTAGATCTTAATCGGGCGTCCTTGTGAATGTATTTATTTTCATTATTTAAATTATGACGGGAATGAATTCTTGATATACAATAATTTATTGTTGTTATATTGGAAAAATTATAGCAAGATACATATTTCATCATTTATGAAGTAATTATATCAATTATCACGGTAATGATCTACAATAATGTATCGTTATCATATCGGATAAAATATAGAAAAATGAATTTCATTATTTATGAAGCAAATTATTGCGGGGATGATTTACTATAATTTGGAAGAAATCGAAGAAATACAGATTATTGTTATTTGTAGCATGCGTCACCTGTCAATCAATGGTCACGTGTGAAACTGGTTGAGATGACACGTGGCCAAAGCTATACCTAAATACATGTCAATCACATCACATGTGGACATAATCCCTTCACTGTTGTCTAAATGAAACAGCTAGGTGTGTACAGATTTATAACTTTATGATTTCCATCGGCTTTACAAAAGAATTAAATCACTGGTAGTTACATAAACTTGTTCAGATTGTTTCATGTTAGGAAAAAAGAAAAGTAAAATTACACAGTTAGATAATAGCTTTAAATAATCATCTTGATGATCAATAACCAACCATCGTTTTTAAACTATTTGTAGTTCTTAATAGAATTATTAGTAATTCAATATTGAGACAAAATAAACATACATTTTATATACATGGAACAATCAATTACCCAGAAATAATAAAAGGTTAAGATTTCATCAAAATGGTAACTAAATTTTAAAAAGAACAGCAACGAAACTTGAATACAAATATTTACACATATATATATATATTCATATGTTTTCAAAATACCGGTGTTATAACTATGACGCTTAATTAGTTGCTGCTCTGATCTATATTGGGAATTTCCAATACCTTATCTAGAAACAAACAGAAATACAGTTAATGATCCTATTAAAACAACACCGTAATGTCTTTATATATGTAAGTTCTAACAATACAACATATAACAAGTACAAATGGTAATATATGAGACTGAGGGAGTATAATTATGTTTTGTCCGTTACTGTCCTATTATCTACCACTAATGAAATATTCCAGCACTCTTTCCAGATTCATTACTGGTTAATAGGTACAAAATATATTGTTGTTAAGACATTTAAAAATATGGCTAGGTTAAGAAAAGCATTTCACTAATGTGTATCCATTCGTTTACTGTTCCCATTTCGTGAATGAAACAAAGCTCGAGGTTCTGGTCATATGGTGCAAAATATAGAAAAAAACAATACACCTTTTCTTCGAATGTCCTCTGTATAGGTATTTTAGGCATCACATCTTCTCTGTATACCTTCTATTAGGATGTGTAAACCTTCATGTTGTCATGGTGTCGTTGGTATGTATAACAAAACTAATAGAAATATACTTAATCATACTAGTTCCNACAAGTAATGCTTGGTCAGGTGCCGTTGTAACAACAAACCCACGCACTCAGCCGCTGAGAATTGTTATGGTTTCCCTAATTAGTGGTAAGAAGTGTTTCTACAATGACCTTGTTATGTCACAATAATGAAGATGTGGAGAAACCAATATCAAAAACTGGTCAATCAAAGAATGATACGTTTCTTGATATGCGCGTCGATATCATACAGATACACGGACGGACACACATTTATATATGTACCATTTAATGTTTGTTTTTTTAAAAACAAAAGTAATAATTTCAATCAAACAACCATGCCTACTTTGATTCTATATGGTAGCAGCTACATTGAAAGACTTCGGCGCCATTGTGATGGAGACCTATGTATTTCTGGCGTGAATACTGTATTCTTTGGCAGGGGTGGTTTGAGGACAGACAGGATGGACCAGCGATTTGTTAGGCAAGCCATAGCAACAGGTGCAGAATTTGCATTCCTCCACGTCGGAGGTAATGACATCTCACCCACATCTACACCAAGGGAGATTTTTGAAAGAATTGTCGAGTTGGTTTTTACATTCAATAATGCTGGAATGAAGAAGGTATGGGTGGCCGAAATCATCACAAGGGGAAACTTCAGTAAAGTTCCTGGTCTGACAAAAGAGGCGTATGAATGTCAACGGATACGTATAAACCAACTTCTCCACAAGAAATTTGGAAAGCACTTCGTACAGTTCAAAGACATTAAGTACCCGACTGACTATCTACAAGACCTGGTCCATCTTCAAACCAGTGAACTGATCACCGTTAATACAGGAATAAAGAAGTATATGTCCAGAATCCGAAGAATCATCGCCTCCACACAGAAGCATTAAGAGGAAATACGTATCATAAAACGGCCCTTTTTAGGGCCAATAACTTTTAAAAAAGCACCCAAATGATTCACTCGAAAACGCAAAATAGATTGAAATAATCAGACCGTTAAAAAAAGTACGAATTTAACACTTCAAACAGTATCCTCTTTAGAACAAAGCACTTGTCAAATACAAAATAAACATAGGCTACCTATGTCAAATAATGTGGAAAGAGTGAGAATAAATACCATTTATCGATAAAACTTTTGTGAATAGGCAAACGGTAAACTTGTTGCAGGGGAAGTAACTCAAATACGTATAGTTAATCGCGTCGCTATAACGGGAAACATCACAGGAAGCAGACATAAAAATATCTGTACATATTTGTGGTTTTTTTTTTGTGTTTTGGGGTGTTTGTGGGTTTTTTGTGTCTTTTTGGGTGTTTTGGGGTCTTTTTGGGTAAATCGTGCTGCCGACTCAACACTGGGTCCACAGTTAGAACTCTTATGTCGCTCTTCTTACACCTATACTTCAACATAACAGTTAAAACAATTTGCCCTGGCACGTTGAAAACAAATAAAGAGTACTGAATGGAAAGTTTGAATGTCGTATCATTTGTACTTATATTGATTTTTACGTCCCGTTTTCGTTTGAACATGTTGACCAGAGTTGTTCGTTTATGAAATAATTAAGGTCGGACCCCGAAATCTGATGCTGCTTCCAGGCGAGCCCTGACAAAGCCTTCATACACTTTCGCACGCCCGTCATGATTTATACCTAAAAGTTTTACATTTAAAAACGAACAGGCCCCTGTGTTAATGACACTTGCTCTGTCATGGTTTTTTAAACGCTTGAAATCGTCGTGGCTTATCGGCCTGAACAATTTCACTTGAAGCATCCCAGAGACTCTGATCTACTACACAACTTCTCTCGGCACATCACTTTCACAACATTCAACACGTGTTTCATAAGATCGTGCAATATACATCGACACCCTAATAAAAAGATAATATATTTGTCAACAAGTTACTTTGACGGATTGTGGCTGAGGGTAAGTGTCTTATATTTACGGTAGATTTGCCATTGCTTTGTAGAATGGACACCATTGACCATAGCCTAAGATAGAGTCTCATCTGTCAAATTTACCGGTGCTTACACTGTCACATTGCCAACACATATCCATCTATCGTCTCTGACATAATGCATGCTTATAATTTTGAATTTTACTAAGGAGTCGGACAAAAACACACATCATATAAAGTGTGATGTTTTGATGTGAAAGAAGATGGGGTTTGTCTCTGACATCATGACCAAAATGCTACTTTAAGGTTCAACAAGCCCCCTAAAAGATGCTGTAGTCACCTAAATTTCCAACCCACTGATCATGATAAGTCATGTTCAAAGACCTCAATTAAAAATCGGAACTTATATATGTTTTTTGTATATATTGAGGCTATACAAAAAAATACATATCCAGGTTAACTTAAAATAAGCCATTTAAAGGCTGCACCCAACAGGCACATATACGTTTATTCAACGTTGAAGCTCAACATTGTTTAAACGTTTAATTTATATTTGATTGTGAAAGTTGAAACAATTACGTACCAAAATGTAACGTTGAAGCGCCACGTTGAATAAACGTCTATTTATATTCATTGATTTAACATTGAATTGTGCATAACCATTCAACCTTCTTTCGGACCATTCAACTGGTAGCATAGCCAGAGTTTCCTCTGGCCCCTACACCAGACTTTGACATTTTGACAGGCAGATGTCTGGTAAGGGACATGCATCTATCTGTTAAAACGTCTTATACCTAGGTATTTAAATAATCTTCAAATAGCATGTCATTTCGTAACATTCAGTTGGGTTGCTTCAGAGATTGACATGTTATAAATCTGGTGAGCAACTTTCATCATTACATCAGCCTTATAATGCCGTATTTTGACTTCGTTACAAGTTCAATATATCTAAATTATATGTAAATATTCCAATTTTTGATGAGGGTATTTGAATATGACTTGCCAGGGGGTTGAAATTTAGGGGGCTTGTTGAACCTTAACAAATTTTTTAAGATTCTCCTGTTGAAAATATAATATTTTGTTATAATTGTCACCAAATATTTAATGTTAAGATTAAGCACAACAGGTTTAGGATGGGAAGTTATATGATGCAAATTTCTCTGGATACAGAAAGAGAGAAATATGTTTATGTTCTCAAAAACAAATCTCAAGCTAGTTGATTTCATTTTTCATTTTTTTTGTATTTTGCAGACAAATGTCTAGAGCCATTTTGAGAAATGTCTTGAAGAACATATTTCAACAGACAAGATTTCATCCATCACTTAAGCAGCCTGTGAAATATTTGTGCTCCAGTGTAGACAGGAAGTGGAAGGGTCACCTGACTACCATGAAGTTGGAGACACCAAAGTTTCATCATTTGTTTACACCAGAACTGAAGGTGTTGATTGATGTTTTTGAGAGAAACAATTATGAGTTGAGAATTGCAGGTGGTGCAGTGCGGGATCTACTTTTGGATATTTTACCGTCTGATGTTGATTTTGCCACCACAGCTACTCCTGATCAGATGATACAAATGTTCACAAAAGAGCGCATACGTATGTTTAATGAAAGGGGAGTTAAGCATGGCACAATCAGCGTTCGCATCAATGACAAGGTAACCATCAACAGTTTTGTATGGAAACTTATTATTTGTGAGATTGAAAAGGAAAATTAGGGAGATCTCCCTGAATTTGAGATTGAAATAGGGCAGATTGCGATGGTTTAATTAATACACAAACTAGGAATAGTTTTGACATAAAGTCATGGAGATTGAAGGCCTATTTCGTGACATAAGTACAAGCTTACGTTAAGTCAGGATTTACGCTAAAAGCCACAATTTGTGTAATGACTTTTTATATGCCCGTCAAAATTGACGGGAGTATTATGGTATGGCATTGTCCGTCCGTCCGTCCGGCGTAAACTTTTGTTTGTCCGGCAATCTCCTCCTACATTTTTCGACCGATCTCTTTGAAACTTGGTATACATAATGATCATGATATGAAGTTGTGTCTCCCTTAACAGAATTTTGATTCAACAATATTTACAAAAGTTATTGCCCTTTGTTCATTTCAGTATTTTATTTTTGTCGGCAATCTCCTCCTACATGTTTTGACAGATTTCTTTGAAACTTAGTAGTAGGCTAAATAATTATGATATGTTGTTGTGTTTCCTTGAAAAGAATTTTGATTCGACAATTTTTGCAAAAGTTATTGCCCTTTGTTCATTTTAGTATTTTATTTTTTTATCCAGTGATTTTATCCTACATTTTAATAGCATGTCAGCTAACCACTCTTTGAACGATGCAGATCTGATTTCAATGTAAGAAAGTATATAACACTATATGGCATTCGACGGGCGTATATTGTTCCCTCATGCGGTACTCTTGTTGAATAATGAAAACAAAAACCTACTCCCTTACCCAATTTTTGTTCTGGATGTTCAACAGATATATGATTTTGTTGGCTGTAAACATTATTGTTTTCTAATCTAGAATTTTGTAATGAATGTTTTGCTGTTCAGTGGAATCTCAACTTTTTCTCCTGTGAAAATCTGGGAATTAATGTTCTCTTATGGTTAATGTGATATTATATAAGATTACCAAAAACAGATTTGTAAATAACCATTGCAGAAATAGATGTATTTTACATTTTTTTTTTTTTTTTGATGACCAGGAGAACTTTGAGGTGACCACTCTGCGTATTGACGTGGTGACAGATGGACGCCGGGCAGAAGTGGAATTCACAAAAGACTGGCTTATTGATGCCAATCGTAGAGACCTTACTATCAACGCCATGTTTCTTGGTATATTTTTGGAAACACTAAATATTATGATATTATACAAATGTATGTAGAAGTCACCTGGCCTATCCGACCTTTATTTTGGGTTATGGCCCTTTGTGGATTAGGTGAACAGTAAACATTATTTTTTGATGAAAATTAATGGATTAAACAAACTTATAGTTACTAGGTTCACGACAAACATATAATATTATGCACATGTTTATGGTAGCCTTGTTTGTCTTACATCTCCATCAATCATCCTTCAAAGATCTCAACAATTTGACTTTTCAATAGCCACCCAAATAATAAAATGTGAAAAGCCCTTTGAAATTATTACATTCAGCTTGGATATATTTTTCGTGTTTCGATAATTAATGTTAAAGTCTGTTTATCGAGTTGTCATAAACTGTTTAGGACAGAAATGTTCAGTCTAGCTCTATCTGAACTTAGCCTCCAACACTAAATATGTTTATCTAACAGACAGACATGTAGCACAGGAAAAAAACCTAGATCTTCATTTAACCATGTTTTAAAACTCTTTGTTCTGATAAAATAGACATTTCATGAATGTGTTAAAACAATTTATCATGAGAACTTGTATTAACAAAGGAACAGTTTTGGATATATAACACTATTTTTTCAATAAATAGTCATGAGACTTTTGAATTTGTAATCAGTTTTTCCCACAAATAATGCAAAATCTGTGTCGCATGAAATACAAATGAAAAAGTGAGTGCAGTGTGACATGTATTATATCAATCTTGGCGTTGTTATAGATATTAGATATGTTTTAATGTATTGACAATCTTGATAAGCTTTACAGGAAATTTGTCACCAAAATGATAATTGTGTTATTCAGGGTTTGACGGTACAGTCCACGACTACTTTAGCGGTGTCCAGGATCTTCAGGAGAGGAGAGTTCAGTTTGTTGGGGATCCCATACAGAGGATACAAGAAGACTATCTCCGGATTCTCCGCTATTTTAGGTAAGATTCAAAAACTGAAGCTTTGGTAAGAAAGGTAAAGAGGGAAATATAGGTTCAGCAGTTTCAATGCCAAAGGGATAATGAAAAATTAAGGTTGAGTCTTAAAGTAAAATTTTGTTATTTTTCAAAACATGTGTCCAAACTGGCTGTCATGTAGACAGGATGTTTTTAGTACCATGGTACCCGGTAATATAAGTAGTGTTACCATATATAGCTGCATAAAAATGTGAGCACCACCAAACAAAGAGTTCAAAAGTTTCTTAAAATGGCAAGTACATGTTATGTTGTGTAATTAGTTTTTTATGTCATCTCTTCATTTGCAATGCATACAGATCCTTAGTGCCTCTTGTTTATACAACACAAATGTCAAATCCTTTGATGAATCAAAATTGTTCTTTCCATGTGCTTCCGACGATAAGCCAGAAATTATTTGTTTTTCATACAATTCTGTTAACAGATTCTATGGGAGAATATCAGAACGACCTGACAACCACTTAACAGAAACACTGAAAGCCATTGCTGAAAATGTTGGAGGTTTGGAACGTAAGCATTGTTTTGTTCTTCTAGACTTATACTTTATTTATACTAATTTAAAGTGCAAATCATGTACCAAGTATCTGATGTTGAGATGTTTACATACAAGTTACTATCAGTGTTTTGACTATTTGACATGTATACTAAAATGAGTAATGTAGATCATCTTTATTTCATTATAATAACTTATCAGGTTAGTAAGTATACCATCTTATCAGGATAACGTGTATACAATCATAACAGTGTGAGAAGTACTATAATATCTTAATTTATTGTTTTATCAGGTTAATAAGTATCTTATCAGGTTAGTTTATTAGTTAATATCTTATTAGGTTGATAAGTATAATATTGTATTGATCAGTAAATTATCTTATACCAATAAGTATATTATGAGGTTGATAAGTATATTATCTTATCAGGTTAAACATTTTAATATCTTATCTGGTTAATAAATATATTGATATTTTATCAGATATAGATAATATATAGACTATTAATAACCTGTTTAATATCTATCATAGCTGAGATTAATAAGCATACATAATATCTAATCGGATTAATTACTGAAGAGACTATCACAAATTCAATTGTGTCACAAGCATTCATTAGACAAATTTTAACTGTAGAAATATCAGGAATGTTTACTTGAAATACACTTATATACTGGGGTTGTTTTTACAGGGAAATGCTCATCTATTAAACATAATACACTGTTACTTTATAATATATACGGCAATGTTCACCTGGGAAACTGTACATCATCATCCGTAAAAACCACATTGGCCCAGTGTTAATTTGACATATTTGGAATTGCATCGACTGTTACTACTAAACACCATGATACAAGGACGGAAGTGCTTCATGTAAATATTCACTATCATTATGAAGTTGAAGTCCTTCCAGTTGAAAATGAGATTAGTTACACGTTCATTAAAATACGAAGCAACTTCCGTAAGTAAGACAAATTAATATTAACAGGTATATCTGGAGAAAGGATTTGGATGGAGCTAAAGAAGATACTATGTAATAACCATGCAGCAGATATAATTCCTGTCATGTATGATGTTGGTATGCCAAGCTACTTAGGTAGGTGCACAAAATTGTCAGTATGACATTTGAATAATTATCTTAACAAAATTCTTCATGTAGAATATAATGTTGACAACATGAGTGGTGCTAAATACCAGGCCCCACTTGTATAAAACATCTCAACTCTTGAGATTTCCTCAAGTCTAAGATTTCCCATAGATTATATATATATCGCTTGAGATTGTCCTCAATTTTGAGATGTTTTATACAAGTGGCCCCTGGCCCCAGTTTCACAAATTTTCTCATTATTGGAGTAAATGAGTAATCTCTAGGATCTGGGCAGCCATTTATACTATACATGTCTCAGTATATTTATAATGAGTTATGGCCCTTTATTATCTTAATACGGAAATTTGTCAGAACTTTGCAGACAAATTCTCTGAGTTGGGAAGTTAAAACGGTTTCTTCTCATTTCCGCTTGAGTAACACTCTGCTTACTTTTAATGTAGAAATAACTATTAACCAGTTTAGCATGATCATCCACATTGTCAGATTTTTTCTCCTTTGTTCCATCTCGTGCATATCCGTTTACTTATTTATCTGTCCGTTTTGCATATTGTTATATACCTTTTACAAAGGTCATTCTGAAACCATAGATATCTGTAATATAATATTTTAACAGGTTTTTAATATTTCATCAGTCAGTGTATCTGTAAAAGGTTTGTTTTTGTATCTCATCAAACAAAAAAATGCACAGAACTGTGAACATGAAAGCAAAAAATAATTTTTAGTACCCAGCACATGAATATCTGTAGATCTTATATGTACTAATGAAACAGTATATAAATAAATTCTATAAAAGTGGCATTTGTTGCGATGTAGTCCATTGTGCTAGCGCTGTATCTGAAGGACTGCTGCATATTTTTCCAGGCCTGCCATCCTCTGCTGATCTTGACCACTATAGACAGGTCTGTCGTAACACGGAAGGGCTGCAGCCAAACCCTGTCACGCGAATGTCTGCACTGTTTAAAAGCGAACAAGAGGTACATATAATCGCTCAGTTGAGTTATAATATGAAACTTAAGTTTTTTACTTAACCTAGTCATTGGGATGTGGCATTTTTTATTGGGGGTTACATTATTTGCATAATTGAAAGGCATACAATTTGCAATAAGAAATCTTTGAAAAATTGTGTATATATATATGTATATATAAATTAAACAAAACACGAAGACTAGTATACCGTCACATGGACATTTAAATTGTTTTATTTATATTTTTACCGCCACATGGACATTTAAAGCCGATTATTCCGTCTTTGCTTATTGCAGAGTTATCTTCTCTTGAGAGCAGGTATTGATTGTTTCGTCATTTGTTTGTGAGATCAACGTCATCAATTTTTGGGAAAACGTGGTAATTTTCTCACACAAACCAATGACATAACAATCAATACCTGTTCTCAAGAGAAGATAACTCTGCAATACGCAAAGACGGAATACTAGTCTTTGTGTTTTGTTTTATTTATATTTTTACCATCACATGGACATTTAAAACTAATTATCGCTATATGTATATATATAAACACACACAAAAATCATGAAATTTGTATGTTTTAGTCAGGTCTCAACTTTTATAAAATTGGTGAAATATTTGGGTCTTAAAAGTTAATATTAATAGATATACCTGAAACTAAGAATATTTTGTTTTCGGCAAAATTTGATGTTGTGTTAAAATTTTACCAAAAATCTTTGATTTCATTTCCTGATTATTACTGTAATGTTATACTTTTTTAGGTCAACTGAGACAAAGTCTCAAGTGACCTATTGCGATCGTCTTTTGTCCGTCTTCGTCCATCGTGCGTCCACAAACAATTTACATTTTCGACTTCTTCTCCAAAACCCCGGAACCAATTTCAATGAAATTTTGCAGAAACCTCACATGGCTGAACAAAAACAGTGGCTGATTTGGTCCCCAGCCACTAGGGGCCTGAGGGGCGGGGCCAAAAAGGGTCAAATTGACTTGAATTTCAAAAAACTTCTTCTCAAGACCCAGATATAGTAGAATCAAATACTCTTCATAGATGGAAGGGTCTAAGGTGCTTTACCAAAATTGTGAATTTCTTGACCCTGGGGTCTCACGTTTCTCCCTGGAGAGGGGGTAAACTTTATTAAAGTTTATATAGGGAAATCACATTTTGGACCAACATTTGTTTAATTTTAATTGGAAGTAATTCAATTTGGGTTAGCATTATCAGTATTGGATAGCAGTTCGATGGTATGCACATAACAGTCCTGACTGACCCCCAGGGGCTGATGGGTGGGGCCGAAAAGGATTGAATTGACTGAAATTTCAAAATCTTCTTCTCAAGACCCAGATATGGTAGAATCAAATACTTTTCATAAATGGAAGGGTTTTAAGGTGCTCTACCAAAATTGTGAATTGTATGACCCTAGGGTCTCACGTTTACCCCTGGGGAAGGGGGGGGGGGCAAAATTTATTATGGCAAATGATACTTTGAATATTACATGTTGAACTCGGGTGACCGTTAAGGCCCATGGGCCTCTTGTTTATTCCTGTAATACTTTGGTGTCATGATCAGTTCAATTTCACAAGAATGTTTTCAATTCCAGGTGTATGTTATGAATGAGAGACTGAAGGTATCTGCAGATGAATTTCGTCAGGCATTGTTCATCATTGAGAGTCGTCACCTGCCAGATAAAGGAAACCCTATAAAGTTCTACAAAGACTTGATGTGTGATACAGTAGGGCAGCGGAACAAGACAGTCGAGAGGATAATTGAGCTGATGAAGTACAAAAATGAGGGGGAACTTTGTGGGAACCCATCCCTTTGGACCCCGCCTCCTTTTCCAGTCGGTGGAGCGGACTTGATGAAATGCAATATAAAAAAGGGACCACACATGCAACTTATGTTAAAAGAACTAAGAAATGTATGGAAAGAAAGTGACTTTAAAATGGAGAAGTCAGAACTGTTGGAAAGAATAGATGACATTTTACCCACACTTCCAGAACTTCCATCAAAAAAGAAGTGATAATAGAATTATTGTAAAATTTGGTGACAAACACATACACAGATGACCAGGACCATGTGTGGCATGTCTACAAAGTCATTCTGATAATTCCAAACATATTATTCTATGTCTTTTTGTCTCCCTGACAAAAAAATTTGCGGAAACATTAAAAAGGCATGAAGATCTTGTTAATCATGGCTCTTACAGTGTACACTCCTGAATCTGACAGTCAAGTAAAGAGAAGGCCGCAGTCAAAACACTTTGATTTCAAGATGCTTTAATATCAGAGACAATATTGATTTCATTATATTGAAAAAATTATAATTTTTTATTGATGAAAATGAAAGTGTCAAAACGTAAAATGTTTTGTTTTGTTCAATATGGAATGGTTTTAACCCTTTAACCACTGTAGACCATAATGGGCTCATCCATATCAATGTATGGTAGAATCTACCAAAGTTACGTAGGGGTGAAAGGGTTAAAATGGATTAATTGACACAAAATATTTAAATAACTACAGTTCATCATCAGTAATCTAGCTAGCCACCAGGAATATAGGTGTGTTGCTATCCAACTAGTGTTTTACTGGACAGATTTCCCTTGTTTTCTATACCAAATTGTCCCAGTAATTCAGATTTCTAACAACCCTGCCACATATTTGCTGTGAACTGAGATGGCCTCGTTATTAATGCTCCACTATATACAGAAACACCAGGATTAATTACTGAATATTGGGGAATTTTCTCTGCAGTTTAACTTTCACCTTTTTCATCCTCCCAAATAAGGGCAATGTTATCATGACAGTTAATATTTGTACATAACATACAATATACAGTAATTACATGTTAAGAGCGAAATTTACACTGGGCAAAGATGGACTTTGCCAGCAAATGGCGAATCTTTGACTTGACGAAAGTTTCCCGGTACACAGTATTCATTGCAAGATGTTCTTAACCCATGCACCCTTGAAGTCACATTTGAACCTTACCAAATGAAAGAGTGGGCATGGTCCAGTTAGATAAGTAGGGGTGAATGAGTTAAGGTTAGTGAAGATAACATTGTTCCTGTATTAATTATGTTCTACATATGTTTATGCTGGACTGATAATTTATTCGGATGAAGTTGACAGAATGCAAGTGATGCTAGTCACCAAAACATTTCTAGTTGTTTTACTGAAAGTACATGTACTGGAGTTCACGTGAGGATGGAACGGTTCAAAATGAAGTACCAGGTGCATGAGTGGCAGTGTTTGTTTCAACAAGATTGAACTTTACTCTTAAACGTGCAGCTTAAGGATAACCTGTGAATCATAGTCTGTGGACATAGATTTACTCTTAGTTTTACTAGGAGTAAATCAAGTGTAGGATAGCAGAATGGAGAGTTTCCAGTACATATGTTATATCTGAATTAAAATTGTTACACATAATTATACATATACATCAACATTTTACTTAATGTGCATAAATTTCAAATAAAAACAGATTCAGCTGATGTCATGTTTCCCTTTATATTGTCTCAGACAATATAGCACAGGGTATTTAGAGATGTGCACGATCAATTAATGAAAATTAGATTAAATGAGAATTAGGTAATACATTTGTTCAAGTATATAATTTATGTGTCTGCATAAAATAAATGCATTTTATTTATCTTTGAATGTGACTGTTGTTTTGTTTTGTTGACATTGGGCATTGTATCAGCATGTTCTATTTAATTTCAAACTTGCAGCAATTATGTTTGCTCAGTGAGGAACTAAAGGGAGGATTCACAAATCAAATGTACCCCTTTAAACACAGGGCTTTAAAAGTTAAAAATTTATCATGTAGGATATTTTATCTCGACTGAACTATTTATAGCATCAGTAACACTACTGTAAGTTGTATTTCTTAGCTTGGCCATGCCCTCTGCTTGCATTGGGGGACACAGAGGTAGCCATATTAGGTCTGCTCAGTGCTGCATCCATTGCAGTATTTGGGGTCTTTGTGTTTTCTCTCTTTTCTCTCAAGACGTTTTTTCCTGGCGCCTTCCTTGGCAAAATGTCACTTTTGGCCTTGTTGTTGGGCATTTGGGTTCTGTTCCTGGCTGGGACATGCTGGAGCCGTGAGTGGTGGTCGTGGTTAACCGCTTGTTGAAATTCAGTTTTTGGGGTGAATGCTGTGGCTGGTTGGCCCGTTATCAGTATGGTGTGACCGGGTGGAATGCTGTGGCTGGTTGGCCCGGGATCAGTTTGGTGTGACCGGGCGGAATGCTGTGGCTGGGTGGCCCGTTATCAGTATGGTGTGACCGGGTGGCTGGTTGGCCCGTTATCAGTATGATGTGACTGGGCGGAATGCTGTGGCTGGTTGGCCCATTATCAGTATGGTGTGACTGGGCGTAATGCTGTGGCTGGTTGGCCCGTTATCAGTATGGTGTGACCGGGTGGCTGGTTGGCCCGTTATCAGTATGATGTGACTGGGCGGAATGCTGTGGCTGGTTGGCCCATTATCATTATGGTGTGACTGGGCGGAATGCTGTGGCTGGTTGGCCCATTATCATTATGGTGTGACTGGGCGGAATGCTGTGGCTGGTTGGCCCATTATCAGTATGGTGTGACTGGGCGTAATGCTGTGGCTGGTTGGCCCGTTATCAGTATGGTGTGACCGGGTGGAATGCTGTGGCTGGTTGGCCCGGTTTCAGTTTGGTGTGACCGGGCGGAATGCTGTGGCTGGGTGGCCCGTTATCAGTATGGTGTGACCGGGTGGCTGGTTGGCCCGTTATCAGTATGATGTGACTGGGCGGAATGCTGTGGCTGGTTGGCCCATTATCAGTATGGTGTGACTGGGGGGAATGCTGTGGCTGGTTGGCCCATTATCAGTATGGTGTGACTGGGGGGAATGCTGTGGCTGGTTGGCCCATTATCAGTATGGTGTGACTGGGCGTAATGCTGTGGCTGGTTGGCCCGTTATCAGTATGGTGTGACCGGGGGGAATGCTGTGGCTGGTTGGCCCGTTATCAGTTTGGTGTGACTGGGCGGAATGCTGTGGCTGGTTGGCCCGTTATCAGTATGGTGTGACCGGGTGGCTGGTTGGCCCGTTATCAGTATGATGTGACTGGGCGGAATGCTGTGGCTGGTTGGCCCATTATCAGTATGGTGTGACTGGGCGTAATGCTGTGGCTGGTTGGCCCGTTATCAGTATGGTGTGACCGGGCGGAATGCTGTGGCTGGTTGGCCCATTATCAGTATGGTGTGACTGGGGGGAATGCTGTGGCTGGTTGGCCCATTATCAGTATGGTGTGACTGGGGGGAATGCTGTGGCTGGTTGGCCCATTATCAGTATGGTGTGACTGGGCGTAATGCTGTGGCTGGTTGGCCCGTTATCAGTATGGTGTGACCGGGTGGCTGGTTGGCCCGTTATCAGTATGATGTGACTGGGCGGAATGCTGTGGCTGGTTGGCCTGTTATCAGTATGGTGTGACCGGGCGGAATGCTGGGCTGGTTGGCCCGTTATCAGTTTGGTGTGACCGGGCGGAATGCTGGGCTGAATGCCTTTAGCTTAGTATTTCAGTGAGCTTGCACTTGGAATTCGGGATTAGATCAGTGCAAATACACCAACTTCCCTGCTTTAGCACACATACACACATGCACTCATACGTTATACATGGCGGTAAGTCCTTAAGTGACGTTAGGTGTTAATAGGACGTTGAACAAAATAAAACCAAGGGGCGTCAGTATGTTGATGCTTGCATATTTACCTTTGATTAAATTAATACAAAACTTTCAACTTAAACTGCATGAGGGAAAACATTTAATAATGTGGATCTTTTCATATAGGATTTATTTCCCTCCTAATTTACAGAGATGAAATCTACCACGGTATCTGGTAAATTGATTTAAACATACTTGTAGTACATTGTGAATTCAAATTTGTAGAGTGAATGTCCATTCACGTTATTGGAAATTAAACTATTCACAAATGATATGTGCTGTATATAATAAATGACAGGAAAATTGGGCATGAATTACCAATGCTAAGGATGACTGACATTGTATCAATAATGAAAATGATTTATAAATGAAACTAGATGTAACTCGAAAGGGGCATTCGTGAATACCCCCGCTTTGATTGATCAGGAAGTGATGGGCATATGGATAGGAAGAATCAAGTGAAAAGTTTATATGCTGCAAGTCTCACATTACGTAGGTCAGAGGTCATGGTAGAGGTCACAGTGACCTACATATGGTACGTGACACCGCCTTCCACGCATGTACCCACAAACCAAGATTCATAACTGTAGGTGAAATAGTACAGGAGATATGCTCCAGAAACCTTTCTGACAACATTATGTTGGTCAGAGGTCACAGTGACCTACATATGGTACGCAACACCCTGCCTGCCATGCATGTACCCACAAACCAAGATTCATAACCGTAGGTGAAATAGAAATAGAAATAACACTTTTGGGTATATTTTGACAATTTTCTGTAGGAAATTATTTTTACTTGGTGGGAATTAGCCTCGGAAGAAGATGGCATCGAAAATGTAAAATTGGGATTTCTTCCCCAACCCCAGGGGCCAGGGCCAGGGCGTGGCCCAAAAAGGAAACTTAACCAATATTTCCAAAATGTTCTTCTCCAGACTCGGAGGTACTTCAGTCATTTTCTGTGCATGGATGGAAAGATCATTTAGGGTTTTATTTAAATTGTAAATTTACTATACAGTTGTAGTTTATATAGGGAAATTACACTTTTGGGTTTATTTTGACAATTTCCTGTAGGAAATTATTCTTACTTGGTGAGAATTATCCTCGGAGGAAGATGGCATCAAAATGTAAAATTGGGATTCCTTCCCCAACCCCAGGGGCCAGGGCGGGGCCCAAAAGGGAAAATTAACCAATATTTCAAAATTCTTCTTCTCCAGTTTCCGAGATACCACAGTCAATTTCTGTTCATGGATGGAAAGATCATTAAGGGCTTTAAATTGTAAATTTAAGGACCCCCGGGCAATCCGTTCTCCCTTGGGGAGGGGGTAAAGTTTACTACAGTTTATATAGGGAAATACCACTTCTGGGTATATTTTATCAATTTTCAGCAGAAAATTATTCAAACTTGGTCAGATTCCTACCCCATCTCTAGGGGCTATGGCGGGGCCCCAAAGGGAAAAATTTACAATATTTTTAAAATTCTTATCCTTTGATGACATCACAAGTATTGTATTTCACTTAGTTTACATGTTGATTTCCACATCACATATCTCAACAATGAAATAAAGCTACCAGTACCTTTAATATAACTCAGGTGACCACTAAGGCCCTTGGGCGTCTTGTTTTAAAAATATTGGTGGTTTTTTTTATAATTAATAATTAACAAGCACATTCACTTGAGAATTTTTACAACTTTCTATGATATGTTTAGTCAATTATGGAAGCACTTTTCCATGCGAAGTCTTGATAAATATAAATATTATGTTAATTTGAGAATGCGGTCTCTATAATGTAACTTGTCCTGTGGTTTAACTTGTCAAGATCTGGAGCTTTGAATTGGTTTATACACAGGCGCTTGTATCTGGTATTTAATACCTGAACTAAAATCCAAAATCCACTACTTACATATATATATAACATATGGTTAAAAATATGTAAGTAGTGGATTTTGGATTTTAGCTCGGGTATTACATACCAGATACAATGCAAGGGCCTGAAAGCAGCAGCAGATTACCACTTGAAAATAGCAATCCATGATCTGAAGTATGGAATCAGCTGCATTATGTAACCTAAATATACAAGCATGATAATAAATATGGTACATCTGAGGAAAGGGAAGTTAAAACTCATAGAATATAAGAGGCGTCAAGTTTGTTGTAAAGTTGAGCAGTAAGTTCACTATTATTGTCTTCTATGAAATATCTAGATTTGAAGCTTACGAATAAAATGTCTGTGGAGTAAAACAAGGTGAGAACAACAAAGTTTTCGACATTCTTGTTATTTAAGGACAAAATGTTATTGGTTGATCTGAATGTCAAACTAATCGATAGGGTAATACTCTTCTTTAACACCATTCTTAAGGATCCCTGTCCTACTTCACCGTATATTCGGTAACTTCCCCTTAGTTTTTATACAAGCTCGCAAGGTACGGTTTTCTTTAAAAATAATCAAAGCTATATAGCCATGCCGGAAAAAAACAACAGTTTCCAATGCCTACTTACAGCTTTGGCTGTGATACAGGGTCATTAAAGGTGGAACACCAGCAGAGGGACACAGTCAGCTTTGGAAACGGTCTGTTGAAAGAGTCTTACGAAAAAAGAAATATATATACTTAGGTTCAAATATCAAACATAAGGTCAATATTTTCCTCTCAGTTGAGATTTGGGAGAAAACGACTTCTAAGAGTATTGTGAGAAAGATTAGAGTCGAAAGTGTACCTGTAACAAACATAACCCAGAATTAAAGTTGATTAAAACACAACTCCTGTATTTTCAAAAGTAGAATTCAGTTGGCTGGAAAAATTGGAAAAGATATATAAAAAATGACACAAATGGTGACCTGAATTAAATGCATATTTGCCTTGTATATCTATACAGGGTGTATATAGTGATATATACAGGGTTTATATAGTGATATATACATGGTGTATATAGTGATATACAGGGTGTATATAGTGATATATACAGGGTTTATATAGTGATATATACAGGGTGTATAGTGATATATACAGGGTGTATATAGTGATATATACAGGGTGTATATATTAGTGATATATACAGGGTTTATATAGTGATATATACAGGGTGTATATATTAGTGATATATACAGGGTGTATATAGTGATATATACAGGGTTTATACAGTGAGACAAGTGGTCGCTAAGCAGAAGAGAAAATACAGCCAAGGATCAAAAGCAATTAATGTATGTAAAGAGTACTTGTGTATAAGTTCACAATTCATATATGACAAGTCAAATTTATTATATGATCATGATAATTATGTCAAAAATGAGTCTATGTAATTTAAAATACCCACGTTAACTCCTAAAAAATCCCCTTTCTCTCCTCTTTTTAGTATCTCTGAGTCAAATTCAATTGACTCTTTTGACATAAAAAAAACACAAAAAAACACCGTGCTGAAACGCTGTTTATTTTCACTTTTTGTTATTGTCCTGTCGTTCAAAAATAAGTAAAGAAACAAAACCAAATATGTATACATGTACAGATTCATTAACACGACGAACCTCTACATAAATCTTGATTGGTTTGTATTATCAGCACTGACCAAAATCATGGGTCAAGATTATTTGTTCATGATGTTTAGTTATGTAGTATGATTGTAATAAAAAAAAATGTAATTGTAATTGTAATACAAAAGGACAGTTTGCTTTCCTTGAACGACAATTAATTAAGCACGCGTTTTGTCCATGTAGCAGACGACACGGGCCTGTGAACCAAGGCAGGTACAGTCACGTGTCATGCAATCACGGGCATAGAACATGTTCCTCTAAAATTATTCATAAACATAAATTTCAATAAATGTTGTACGAATTTAATAAAAAAAAAAAAAAAAAGTCCTAACTTGCCCGCCCTCCCCTACATATATACCTAGCGAGGTATATTGTGATTTCTTCGGTAGGCCACGGACTTAGATAACTAATCTAATTCCGTGGGTAGGCTAATAAGTTTATCATTGCAATAAAGAGGTATTCATGCATAGTGTCAAACTAACGTATTCACAGTTTCCCCAAATTTATTCTCAATTTCATGCATACTTTAAACCTTTTTTCATTGAAATATTCTGGGACTAATAAAAGCGTTATTTAACAAAATTTCACATACTGAAAGATAGTCCCGAGAATCTTTTCATACCGATTTGTGCTGATTGGTTTTCTAGGGAACAATGATAAGTTATTCAGATGATATCGATTTTACGTTTTGTTCCTTGTCTTACAAAAGTTATTTCAGTGAAATTTTATATCCGAGGTTAAATTGCTATAAGTTTTGCAAATCATTTCACGGAAAAATTGTCCAGATACAATATCACTGTAGAATTAATTATTTTTCAGGGTGTCCAGTTTCATTTCAGTGGCGCAAATAATTGGCTCCACGACAATTCAATTAAAAAGATTGAGATGCATGAAACACCAGAAAGGATGTTATAGTAACGATATTATACGTACATGTATTTAATTAGTTAATGATTAAATAAATTAATATTATTATCTTGATTGCATGATGTCGTCTTTTGTTATTGTTAAGTTGTCATTGTTTAGACATTTGGTATACACAGAGTTTCCATGTGTAAGCCCGGGCTTTTTTTCTATGGACGCTACGTATACGTATACGCCCCATTAATATAAAGCATATTCTCTTGGCTCCGTATTCGCGCGGGACAAAAACTAGAGTTATCGCTCTTTTTAAGAACTCTCCAGTACCCGGAAGCTTCATTGTTTTCATTTACACCCACCTGTAAATCTTCATGTCAATCATGATTTTATTTAGTGTTGCAGCAAATCATGTGATGCCTTGATCGGTGACTTCTGTCAATTCGGGGACAGGTGAAAGGATGGAGCCCCGAGATGAAATTTCTAGAGCGTTGAACATCCCAAGGGAATATACCCGACGTATTTCCAAAACCAGGGTCGTCTGTTTGGTAGGTGATGATGCTAGCAATATAGATAATGACGCTGAGCCTGACGATCTGTACAATAATCGGATATAACATAAACCATATCGTATTAAAATTAAATCTTTGTATTGACCCCGTTTGTGGTATCTTGATTTGAGCTCTAAGTTAATAACAATGATTTATCATTAATAATTAAATAATTTGTGATTGTTACAAAATGCATTGATAGCAAAAAGATTTTTTTTCGTTCAATAAATAAAAAGTTTATTGAGATTTTTCATTTTAAGATACGTCTGTAAAGTAAGCTGTCCTTGCTGATTTTTCGTTAAATAACTGCTACAGGGAGAAAGGTACTGAGAGATGGCCATGGTATAACAGTTATATCTGTGGCAGTTCTCTCTTACCTGTTTCATATTATTAATATATGTTTAAAATAGCTCTCTTATGCCCTTTTTTAACTGCCTTAGCTTACTAAGGAGACAAACTTTGTACTCGAAAATATCACTCTAGACATGCACAGTGCCCTATTCATTGTAATGAAGGGAAGTCCTCTCTAATTGAGTCAGTATTTTACCATCTACTAGATGATTATAATTCATTAACCAATATGCTATATTCTAAAGGGGTGGTGATCTGGAGTAATGTAAAGTCATCTATGACAGATCAATGTAGGAAATGATTGTAAGTTGCTTGGCTAGAGTGGATTTCCCTGTAGCTGAATCAGTAGAAGACTGGCTTGGTTTGTTTGTGTTTGCGTCCTGTTAACATGCCAGGTTTTGGTGGTTGAGGAAAACTGGAATATCCAGGGAACACCCACCAACCTACGGCTAGTAGAGGACTGGAATGATTTGATTTTTAGTGAAAGTACAGTAATGACATCCATGCATGAAGGGGGTACCAGTACTTCTAAAATTCTAGTAGGAACATTGTCAATCATTCTCAAAAATGCTTTAAACCCCAGTAGAAAAGAAGCTGATACTCCATCTAATCTTAAGACTATTGGTACACTTTAATATGACTCGGAATATTTTAAAAGAACCAATGTACTGTATACATTGACTAAGAGTTTGTTTTCTACTTGTTGACAGGTGTCTGATGACTGGCTGCAGCTTGCTGTTCAGGGTAATGTTGATGGACACAAATGGGGGCGTTTGCTTATGGTACCAGAGTGTGAGCGTCTCCTGGCGCCATCTACTGGCACAATACAACAGCCTTGGCTGAGGATATCTGTAAAAAGCATACCTAAATCTGATCAACTGATTGATTGGTAATATATTTATATATATATAAATGTTTGTTGTAATTGTTAATGACAATCTTGTTGTATCATTTTTATTTGATTTATTTAAAAAAACAAATTAGTTGTTAGATGAGTAATGTTTAACTCCAATTTACAAATTAGATTTTTTTGGAAACTTTTGGGTCTGTTTCATATCTACTTGTGTAAAGGAGTTTGATGGACAAGAAAATGCTTGTTTAACTTTAGGCCCCAGGATGAACCTTTGTACAACCCTGAATTTGATGCTTCACTGCTCGGACATTTGTCAGAGACAAGTAAGGAAAACTTCCAAAACCTGTGGAGATCTGCATATGAGCGTTACCACGGAGGTGAAGGAAGCAAGGTGACACACAAACAGACACAGGTAATAAGATCAGAAATAAGTTTTCATCATGAAGATATTCAGTCCACTTTTAGGAAATGCATTTAGTATATATCACACAGGAAACAATGAAAGTTTTTTCAAACATGTCTCTTATGTAAGTTATATTGTCAAAATTTCAGTTTGAGTAACTAAGAATGATATTGGTATAAATCAATTCATAGACATAGTGTACTGGTATTTTACAGTTACCTATAAGTTTATTATCAATGTACATGTGTACTGAGCATTACTTGTTGTGTACCTTGTTCCCTGTTGTAGTTTACGGAGGCAGTGAGACAGTACCTCCTACGGATACATCCCCAGGCCTTCAACACTCTAGACAAGAACAAAAATCACCAAGTGGCTCCCATCACTGAGAGGTCCATCGCTACCTCTGCGTTCCTTCAGAATGTCGTCCCCATCTTAACCATAGTTGAAACTGAGGTGTACTTTCACCTTATACAGCCATACTTTGCACAATCTCTCCATGATGTAGTCACTTTCAGCCCTTCAATATTTGAGTCTTCTTTCAGCAAACCTCTGTTTGTGTTGTACCAGGTTCTCCAGTCCATGAGAATGTTCCACAAACATGGACTGTCTGCTGGGAATCTAAACATGAGAAATATTTTGATTGATCACAAACTGTGGGTATATGTTTCTAGTGTACCGGTGAGGTCTATAAGTCTGAGTGTAGAGTCTGGTGGTTCTCAGGACTCAGACACCCTCGATGCTCATGAGAATCAGATGACCAATGTAGCCAATCAGAGTGGAGACCTGGCCCCTATGGGCCTGACACTTCAGAGACTACGTAGTGAGAGTGACACAATGGTAGAAGATGCACAGAGATACTTACAGTCTAGTCAAAACTTTAAATTTGAAATTAAATATCTTCCTGATTTTCTAGAACAGTGGGTTAATAGGAAGATAAGTAACTTCAGATACCTGATGGTGCTGAACTCTCTAGCAGGGAGAAGAACAGGTGATCCCAATCATCACCCTGTTTTGCCATGGGTTATGGATTTTTCTGGCCCTGATTATGGATTCCGTGATTTGAAAAAATCTAAATACAGACTAAATAAGGGAGATAATCAACTTGATTTGACATATGAAGCTTTCTCAGGTCTCTCAGATGATTCTCACATTCCTCATCATGTTTCTGATGTTTTATCAGATATAACATTCTATGTATATAAAGCAAGACGCACACCAAAGTCCATTCTGTGCACCCATGTACGACCTCGATGGGTTCCGAACGAGTATCCAAGTAGTATGCAAAGGATGCAGGAGTGGACTCCAGATGAATGTATACCAGAATTCTTCACTGACCCCACCATTTTTACATCTATGCATGAGGACTTGCCTGATCTGGAGTTACCTCCCTGGTGTACAACTGCAGAAGACTTCATCAGTAAACACATGGAGGTTTTAGAGAGTGAGCAGGTATCCAGCGCCCTCCATCATTGGATTGACCTCACCTTTGGCTACAAGGTAAGGCACTGATCAAGTCGTGTTTGTATACAGTGTAAACTTGCCAGACAATTTCATAATTTGATGTCACGATTCTTTCTTTTGTAATTACATTAAATTTTAGTGACAATACTTGTTGATCCAGAATATTGCTCGAGGCATTTGTCTGGAACCCTATGTGTTGAGATATTAATGATATTCCACTATGATTTCTGTAAGTCTGGAATACATGATATGATGCTTTAATAAGCAGATAATTAAAATTTTCGTTCTGTAAAGCTATCAGAGAACTTTAGAACAAAAGTTAAAATATTTAGTTTACTCTATTAGCTGACTGGATCAGCTGCTGTGAAATCAAAGAATGTGAACCTACAGTTGGTGGATGAGCATAAAAATGTGACAAACAGGGGTGTAGTTCAGCTTTTCAACGTGCCCCACCCCCACAGGATTCCTGTGTCCCAAAGGACCGCCAACCAGCCTCCTAGGCTGCCAAAGAACATGCTGCCATCTCAGGTGAAGTAGATTGTATATTTTAACTATAGCCATACGGTGTATGCACCAAAGTATAACTTTGTATTGTCTTGCTCCACTGATTGTTTTTGTTCTTTTGACAACAATTACACATTTCAAATTTCATTTACAGTGGATTCCACATTTTATAATACAGTATTGGATACTTATTACAACATTTTTTCTGTATATGAAACTTTCTCTGTACAAATTAGATGATTCAAAGATTAAAAATCCTTATATAATTTAATATGGTCTGACCTGGACACCAGTTTATTATACTATCATTCTGTCATGAATTGGTTTTATGTAAGCTTAAAACCCAGGTACATGTTGTATGTAATAAATATAATTTAAATGTACAAACATATTTCCATATGAGGCAGGCTCTGATTAAATCTACATATCATACATATATGTATATATCAGTGACAGCATTAAAGGTCCAATTGAACCTGAGTCAGAAGAGGAACATCACTGCCCTAGAACTTGGTAAGGCAGGTGGGCAGACTATTTCCATGTGTTGGGACATGATACTGTTATACTGAACACATTTAAGTAAAGTTTACAGGGAGAATTGTTATTAAATAGGTATATACACTGCGAACATTTTCATTAAATGAACCATTACACAATTTAAACTGCACTTGGGCAATACTGGTACTTAAAATTTGAAACCTAAAGAAAGAAACTGTTGAATTGAAGAATATCATTCTTTGACTGACCTGCTAAAATGTTCCAATATTTCTAACCAGATTGAAGTAATGTGTTTCACCGTTCCTGGTGAAACTCAGTTTGAAATGGTACGCAGAAATAATCAGGTATTTAGAGTTTGAGAATTTGTTCCCCAGCAGGAGATTGCTTAGTCTAGCCTGAGCTTCTATATATAACGAGTCATGGTCACGACTTCATTCCACATTGACAGTACTAGGAAATTCATTGATGACATCACAGTATGTATGGCTGCTGTAATTCTTATTTAAGTATGAGTCATAGATCGAAACGTTCATAATATTACAACAAATCTTGGGGTTTTCTAATAGAAAGCTATGTCAGGGTACTTTCTTTGTAATCAGTAGACTTAGTGGTGTAAATATTACTTTGGCAAGAGACGTCATTGTCAGTAAAATTTACTTCCACTCAAGAATGTTGTTTGAGCAAAATGTTTACAGTTTGAAATGTTACTATTATTCCATCTCTGTGTGCATTATATTTAGATATAAATAGCAATATACACTGTATTGTCTTTAAACATTTCTTTATATGATAGGAAAGAGCATAAGTATAATTTCTTAGAATGGACATTATATCTCTATAAATTGTAATGTAAATTTTGACCTTGGCCCACACGTATGTACCATCCTATATCCGTACACACACATACTGATGCAAAATATCTATTAATATCTCAAATTCATGATAGATGTACAGATGAATGTCTAAAAAATAACCTTAAGTTCATGATATTTGTACATGCAAAAATATCTGTGTGTATTTTTTATATCGTCAAATTTATGATGCAGGATAAATATAAGAAATTTACTATACCTTATAGGGATGATTCTATGAATAAATAAAGTTTTATGAGTTGAAAGTCTATAAATGTGTCAGATTTATGATAAATGAACAGGACAATTGTATATTTCAAGTCTATAGCAATGTTAGGTTGATTATTTTCTACTTAACAGTATTAAAAAGTTGATTAGGTTACTACAAACTGTCTCCATCCATCCATCCAGCCCCATGTGCAGTACAACACAGAATACCATTGCTTCTGCAATCTCACACACTTAATTAATAAATTTGATTCCACATACCAATATTTGAGAATGCCTGGTCAGAATTTCTCTGTCCTCACTGTAAGATGTAGACAAGCTACACACTATGAACCAAAAAGGACAGTTACACATGTCATGTAATCCTGTGCAATGGACAGCTTGTTGATATTATCAAAGCATGTTTTTAATTTATGAAGGATCACCCCCGGTAATTTCATCACAAATGCAAATAATCAAAACAATAAAGTATAGAGGAGATTGAATGGTAAGAATAGTGTACAAGTACTCATTTTAAGTGTTTATACAGCCCCTGTTCTGAAGTGAGTAAATTTCAATGGTGGCTGTTTATACAAAATTATTTTGTATGTTACAGATGCTGGGGGATTCTGTAGAGGAGACCAACTACAGTGACAAGAGGTTTGTATATAACTTCTTCTCTGCATTTATCATTGGATTTTAATCATCATTCTATAAATTGTATACTCAAGAAGGGGTCAACCTCAAGCTCACAGAGGGGCTCAAAGGGTTAAACCATCGGACATCTTGTCTGAAAGATGAACATTTCCTAAAACCATTCTTTGATCATTGGGGGACGATTTCCCCAAAAACCATTTACTTGTATGAAGTTAGGTCCTCCTCAATAGTATGTGTTTCATTCATAGTTCCACTCAGCTGATCATTCTGGCCTGTTGACCCCTTGTTAATGTTACTCATTCAGTTATCATTATTACTTAAATTTGGGTGGTATTATCATTTCTCAAGTGGGTAAAGTAATTATGACACCATTGTGTGTATACTGGTAAAACAGTTGCTTAGAAGAAAACAAACAATTTCCAGAACATGTAGAGCAGATCTTGAAACCGTTGTAATTTGACAATTATCTCACTTCTGGTGAAGTGAATTGTTTAATGTGTTTTTTATACGACCGTCAAATTTGACGGTAGTATTATGGTATGGCGTTATCACGTCCGTCCGGCGTAAACTTTGTTTGTCCGGCAATCTCCTCCTACATTTTTCGGCTGATCTCTTTGAAACTTGGTATACATTATAATCATGATATGAAGTTGTGTCTCCCTTAACAGAATTTTGATTCAACACTTTTTTCCAAAAGTTATTGCCCTTTGTTCATTTCAGTATTTGATTTTTGTCCGGAGATCTTCTCCTACATTTTGCGACCGATCTCTTTGAAACTTAGTATACATTTTAATCATGATATGACGTTGTGTCTCCCTTTAAAGAATTTTGATTCAACGATTTTTGCAAAATTTATTGCCTTTTGTTCATTTCAGTATTTGATTTTTTGTCCGAAGATTTTCTCCTACATTTTTTATAGCATATCAGCTAACCACTCTTGTTATAAATTGACCTCTATTTAGGTCATCTGGAACAAGTCAAACAGTCAATGTCCAGCGTCCAGAACTAGCCACCATTCGTCTGCCCAAGTCCTATGACCCTGTGTCGGAGCTGGACCAGCTGGAGTCTCTGTACAGCTTCTCTAGTCATACCATGAGGGAGCTGCCACACTCAACACATGTAAAGGTAGCCTGTCCGCACTACTAGTTTGTGATTGAAATGAATGCTATATGAAGATTCCTTCAGTATATATGTAAACAAGGTTGTGATGATACATGTACGTGCATTTGTTAAATTTAAACAATATCTGTTGTTTGAAGGTCATCATAGGCTTTTAAGTGTAAAGAGATTTTAAATTTTCTTTTGAATTTGGCCAAGAGGCCAAGGTTCGGGTTATTTAGCCAATAGCTACCAGGGGTAAAGTCCTATAAATTCCCTTTAATTCAATGACCAGGACTTTATTTTGACCTCTTGTTATTTTAAGTGGACAGTACATAATAAAGAAAACTGGCCATCTTGTGTGAGTCTATGTTAATCATGTAATGTGTTTGTTTGAGGACAAGGACAGTATCATTGTAATACAAATGATGACAAAGTAATACATGTATCTGTAACATTGAAAAATTGTGTCAACAATAAAAATAAATTCAATGCTAAGACTAGAAATACAATAGATAATATGATTATTGTAGCCACTACCTTCCCCTATGGATTGCTACCCCAGTGTGCTGACACATGACATGCAGGCCTTTGGCTGTTTACTGTGCGAGATGTTCCTGGCTTCCTCCCTCCACATGCAGCCAACACAGACATCACTCTCCCAACGCTACGATGCAGTCAAGTCAACATTCAGGGAGGGACAAAATATTTTCCCAAGGTAAAGTGTTAGGATTAGTGACAGCCTAGATAAATAGTGTATGTGATCATTGATCAGTAGTATAATTTCTATATTTCTCTATAAGATAGATGCATTCATTAACATACTCATAGTTTTAAAGAAATAGTTCTCTGCTCTGACACTAGTTTTATGTTTTAACTATATTTCCTAAAAGAAAAGTCTGCCATACATGATGAGTGTGACATGTTAGATGACATGTTTTATTTTCACATTTCAGGCCTTTACTGAAAGCAGTGGAAACACTTTTACAAATCAATGATTTTAACTCAGGACATGATAAAGGGGAAGTAACTCAGTATGGGTTTAGCTACCCAATAGTAAATAAATTAGGGTTGCCTCCCCCTACTCCAGTACAACTCCTTCACCCTGTTCTCAATATGCTTCCCTTCCCAAAATACTTCCCTGACCTATATACTTGTCTGTGTCGGCTTAAGGTTAAAGACAGTGATATTGAGCAGATCAGATGGTCATCCAACTATCCATCATACGAGAAGCAGAAGGTCATTAAAATCATTGCCAGAGAAAAAGTGAAAATTCTGCAAAATTTTCTTGAAACATTCCAAGGACATCTTAGTCAAGAAGGCTTAGAACTTCTGCTTCCATATTTAGAAGATCTATTTAGAAATGACATCACTGCAATACCTGCAGCTTGGTCACTCTTCAATTTGATTGGGCAAGAAATTGGACCAAAAGAAACAAGTACCAGATTTCTTCAGCATCTTGTGAAACTATTCAGTAGTGACACTCCATCTCCAAAACTGATGAAAATCTACCACAAAACATTCCTCATACAGATGCTGCTGAGACTAGGGCTCCAGACATTTCTTTCCAACTTTGCCACTCTACTGGTCGAGGCTGTGGCAGGCTACAAGAATTATGTGTTTGAGGAACTCTTCACGGACCAGCAGGAGAGTGATGCTCTGGATGACCTGGTAAAACGTAGGGATGATGAGGGTCTGACACTCCCTCCTGTAGAGGAGGAGGACCGAGACGAAGACTTAGAGATGGAAAGTCAGTTCTCTGAGTTCCCTACAGAATCAACACAAGATGATGTAGATGACATTGATGATGAAATAGCAGATAGTATTTCCCTAAGTGAGGAAAATCATAACGAACCTGATGATGAAGATGAGAGATCTGAGGATTCACTTAATATTAGTGCTGATGACGAGTCTGACTTCCGGAGTGATTGTGAGGCTTACGGAGGGGAGAGTGCAGAAAGGGCATCCATTCACAGTATCTCCCACCTGATTGACAAATCACTTGAACTACAAGGAGTAGCTGATAATGAGGGAGGCTCACTGACGGACAGGAACAGTTCATCTCATGATTGGGGGACTCCGCCATTACAGGTAGGTTTAACAAAGGAATAGTGTGTGATATTTGTCTATAGTTTCATATTCTTACATTTTTAGTATTATGTACATCACATGATAATTACTAGGATAGCTATTGGATAACTTCCCTTGCTCTATTTGGTATAGTTAGCATCCGCCCTTGACGACGGGAACTATACCTGGAGACGGGCACTATACCTTTTTTTTGGACCGCTGAGACTGCGGGAAAAGTAGCGTGACGCCAAGAGTTGCGCCCCTTTACCTAGGGGGCGCTGTACATATTCTACTTTCAGTTCATTGTTGTCGTCTGCCAAAATGGCTTCGAGATTCGGGACCGGGAATGCCGATTGCTTTGCAGAGGCTCAGCAATGTTTGAAAACGAAGCAGGCGACACAATTTGCAGTCACAGTTAGTACAGTCATGTGATATACTAAATCTATTATGACCCTTTCCCTCGGGAACAGTTCTCTTATAGTGTTGTCTGGGGAGGGATAGTGCCCGAGCCGGTAGTCGAGGGCACTATACCTCCCCAGACAACACTATGAGAGAACAGTTCCCTCGGGAAAGGGCCATAATAGAATAATAGTTTCATATTCTTACATTTTTAGTATTATGATATTTTTACATCATGAAAAAGATTTAATGAGTAGTTATTTTCTATAGAATGTAAACTTTTACTTGTATATTTTTATGTCCAGAATAACAATGAAAATGATGATATGGCCGAGGATGCAGAAAGCAAAAATGGTGGGTCTGAAGTGAAGTCTGGTATGGTGCGCAGTGAGACCGATGAGTTCGCACATAGTATGTCTGAGAGAACAGCTGAGGAGGTGGTTAATATCAGTGATGTGTCTGCAGAAAGCATCAAGTGGTTATCACATAGACTTGGGTCGGTCCTCACAGCCAAGTTCCTGTCACGCAATCTCCTTCGGATGCTGGCCCTGTGTTATTTTGGCGAGGAACAGCTTATTGTACTAGCAGAGGCAGGTGAGGGAATCTTTTCTTAGGCTCGTTTGTTACAGACTTACAGGCATTGAAAACAGAAATAGTTCACTGTTGATTTTTGTCTCAAGTACAGATAATTGAGAATGGATCACTATGCTGTTTTATACTTGATTCTAGTTTACAGATTTTAAATCATCTGGTAAATATTTGAGACATTAGAACCAGTCTTATTTTATTTATCAAAGATCAAGTATATAACATAAGTTGTGTTTGTAAAAATATTTGTTTGTGATTGTTGAAGCATTATTGTTCTGTTTACATGTTAACCTTTGAAACTGAACTTTACAATACGGAAACCTGTATAAACCAAACATTCTGTTAGGTTTCACTTCAGCTGTATATATTTGTATGTAAATCAGTCATTGTGACCTGAAAACTACTAGAAACAGAACCATAAAGACCTGTTACGCTACAAGCCTAATACATTCCGTGTATGTGCTTTTCAACTCATATCATCAGACAAGAAGTTCCCAAAATCGTCCCGCCTGGTGTGCGGAGACCGGAATGCCCACAAGGTGTTGGAATGTCTGTCCTTTATTGCCCAGATGTATGGAGAACAGGTGATCCTGCTACAGTACATTCCCTGTATAGTAGACATGGTATGTATGACAGAAAATAGGACTAAAACCAGTGTAATATGTTTGCTTGTATGTGTACTTCATAAGATTCCAAATCGTATAATGATACCCTTGTAACAAAGTTAGGAGAGGTAAACCGAGATCGGGCTGTCTGTGGACTTACAGGTGTTTGACGCACTACTGCTTACCTTCTATATCAATTTTTATGAACATTGATTATCACAAAACTTCCCTATAACTTTTAGCTTTGTTCACCTGGTATTTTATTCCAGTTTTATCTCCTGTTTTAGAAACTACCACATGGAAATAATATGCATTGGACTAGTACCATAGGTACATGTCATGCCATTTGTTTTAGTAATAATAATTATGACCTCATAAGTTTAACTTTGGCCATCGATTGGACACATTGTGTCATTATAGTAACAGCCTTATTGGGGTTAGATTTCAATCTTGTGTATTATGAAGTATACATTCACTTAACTTCTTATTCTCAGGTTAACACAGCAAAGAAACGTCTCACTCAGAAGGCAGAGTCAGGTGTGATTAGTGCACTGGTCTTATTGAGACACATCCTGCCTCTCCTGTCTGATGAGTCCCTCATGGATGTTTTACCGGTAAGTGGGATCTCCTACAGACAAAGGTTATATACATGACAGATATATTTCTTACCAACGGTACACAAGTATGGCTAGATGTCATACAGGTAAGTTATGTCTATAATATATGTCATACAGGTAAGTCATGTATATAATAGATGTCAAACAGGTAAGTCATGTCTATAATAGATGTCTAACAGGTAAGTCATGTCTATAATAGATGTCAAACAGGTAAGTCATGTCTGTAACAGATGTCAAACAGGTAAGTCATGTCTATAATAGATGTCAAACAGGTAAGTCATGTCTATAATAGATGTCAAACAGGTAAGTCATGTCTATAATAGATGCATATATTAGATGGAAGACATCTCTGTTACAGGTAAAACATACTTTTGATGGACACCTTATACATGAGATTTGAGATGGATGTCTGACAAGGGGGACTTATCTAAAGAACAGATAGCAAATTTGATAAAGTTTAGAGTTAATACTTTCAGATCATTTATACACGATTAATGGTGAATACCATTTTCAGATTGATAGATCTAGTTTTATATGTGTGATTATGGATACCCTTAGAGACTGCAAAATATCTGTTATCTTCAATATCATAGGGCAATTTCCTAAAATGCAGTAGTTTTATGGCATACTAAAACCTTTTCACAACTTGATATGAAGTTGCTGACTTTTATTCTGTGAATGTGCTTGTTTACAGGGTGTGTCATTCAAATTACCTGCAACTTTTTTTCAGGATACAATCATCAGGGATACCCTGTCTCCTGTTATTATGCTCATATCTTCAACATCTCATAATTTCCCAGGAGGAAGCATGGTACGCTCATTAATCTGCCACAAAGTTATAGACGTGGTCTTTGTCATTGGTTTACGTGTAGGTTTTGAAATGACAAGGAATCTCATGACTGGACTCCTCATCGAGTTTTTTTCTTGCTTTGCACAAGTTCATGGTAACCAGCAGCAACAGTCTCAGTCAGCAGCTCAGCAAGAGTCAGTCAACCAAACACAACCAATCAAATCTCAGGGTAAGTGGTCAACAATAATCTTGTGTATGATAGAATGATAGAAAGCAGGTTCTACTCAAAGAGTTTAATTTAGATACCGGGTATCTTGAAATAAAAAATGTGTCAGTCAGTACTGTATCCTTATTGAATGAATGATTGTAAAGAACCTGTGAATTAACTCAAAAGTATTTCACTGCGAAATGTAAATATAAAGAAATTGATTGTTAGCAATTTTCCGACAAAAATATATGGGTGTACTTATAATCATATACATATTTATAAGTTAAATAATGCATTTCATTATTACATTTTTTTATTGATAATACATATATCTATATTTAATGATGGAATAATAAATATCTCAAATCTACTGACTTATCCTTGCAGTGTCTACAGACGACTCGTACTGTAATATCAGGATAGACTGTAATACAAACGAGTACACTATTGGCACACCAGTCTCTGTTGGTAACTTCATCCCCTCCCCCAGCTCAGGCCTCAGCCCCGGGGCCTGGCACTCCTCCAGAAAGTCTCTGTATAGCCTCACTGTCACGCCCTATGATGACAGAGGTATGTATTGGTTTGTTATCACTGGTACATTGTATATGTTAGAGTAGATAATACTAAGAATTTGAACCAAGTTTATTCGGTTTGTCATAGGGCTGATTCTTAACTTCATAATATATAGAGGTGTTACAAGTGACTTGTTTTGTATAGTTATCTTACTCAAGTTGTTTTAAAATAAAGAGCTTTTAACACCATTTGAAAATGGTCATGAGTTGTAGAACTTGTTTGTTCTACTATATTTCATGACATTGTTAATTTGTCAAGGCATTTACATTGTTGTTTCACTAGGAGTCCGGCTGTGTAGGAATATGTTGCAAGTGATAAGTTTTCTAATTAATATGCAAAAATTACGAAACTATGCTTACAGCTCTATTCCCAAATTTTATTTGAGAATACTTCATATATATATACATGTATTTAGGTATTTCTAATTTTTATCAGTTCTGAGTGTACATAAAGCTAGCCACGTGCACTTGTATGTTACTTCATCACAGATGAATATAATATGTCAGGGGATACTTGCTTTGTACTGACTTTTTCCCCCCCTGTGTTGTATTAGAAGACTCCCCAGAGTATGGTACGAAGGACAAAGAGAAAACGTTACAGGACCTTGTTGATGTGTTCTCCCCTGAGCTAGCTATGGCGTCCTACATACCCTTCTGTCGCATATTTGGCAGGTACGACATTGGCTTAAAAGTTAGGCAAATATCTTACACATATGTATTACAGGGTACCAAGTAAGGCAAATACCACAGCCTCTGAATACTAAGTTTGGAAAATTATGTCCCTGAAAGACAACAAACATTGAAGTACTTCATATAAAATGTCTTTTTAAATTGATAGAGAAATTGTTACTTTGTAAAGTTGAGTGTAAGTAAAATCAGTGTGCCTGTGTTACAGTATTTACATGGAGAATAGTCTACCTAATGATGACATGATCAGACAGCTCTGTTCCCAGTATGATGGAGAGCTCAGTCCTATCCACAGCAGTGACTCTGAAACGACTTCACCTGTACAAGAAGGTAGGTATCACGGCTAACTCAGCCATTTATTACACTTCATAACTAGGTAGCTAATCAAGTAAACGTTGAGTTGAATTTAAATTTCTTTAATGAATGGACATTAAGGTAATGAAGTAGAATATTAGGTTTGTGAATGTTTACATGGCGCTTCTATTTTTAAACCACAATATACATACTTGCCAACTGTTTGAGATTTCCATGGGGGAGATTCTGCACGCTCAAAATTAAAACGGAAATAAAATGCGTGTATACACCCCCTAGAGACAAAATAACCCTTTAAAATGACATATTTTGAGTTGTTTCATTACATCTTAGAATATAGGAACGGTTAGGCAAATTCACTGGTTGAAAACACTCAAATTAAGGGTGCAAAATCGGGAGTCGTCAGTTAATCTATAAATTGATTTCAATAATAGAGAGTAGATAATATTAGCGGAAACGTAACATTTTCAGTAAGTGTGGGCCTCTGTTTCCCCTGTCTAGCCATACCTGTCCTAGGAATCGGGAGTAACGTGGCTTTGCTAGGCAACAGGATCCAGCTCAACACCAGTACACCACAAGGGTCAGACACATTCAAGATCGGACCAATTCACAGAAACTCTCGTTTACTCAGGGTGGATCCCGATGAAACAAGGAGGTAAACGTGGTATTCATGAAATACTCTAATACATAAGTCATGAAGTCATGATATTTGGCATAAAGCTTGTTGTGTTTGAGGGCTATCAATTTTGTTCAAATGAGTGACCTGGGCCCGTATTCATTAAACCAGCCTCATACTCAAACATAGATTCTATGCTCAAACCTACTTTCTTGTAATTTGAATAAAACATCTAACAAGGTCAAAAGGTCAAGTTTAGACATGGAAATTGGTATTCAGTTTTAGGTCTCGAAAATTCCTTGACGACATTGATAAACTGAATATTTATTAATTTATCACAAGAACTAGAAATTGGGCAAGGGCACAGAATCTGAGCTTGAGCATGAGAACGGTTTTGTGAATACTGGCCCTGACCCACCTTTCAAACTCATAAAGGTCCAACATGTGTTAAAATCTTCCAAAAACAAACTTTTACAATACAATCAGGCCTAGACTTTGATGTCTTGCCTGAGGTTTACTAGGATGAAAGGGTATCAGACTTATTTAAATTAATGAACTTGACTCGCTTTTCAAGGTCACAAATGTTAAACATGTTCAATGTTATGAATTGTTCATACTAGTTCAGATATGTATATGTGAGCAACAAGCCACTTGACAAGATGTTCCAATTGTTACAGTGATCAGATGGAGCACAACAAGCGTCGACATCTGAGGGGGAACTGGCTGGCTTACTGGGAACATGAACTTGGTAGGTAGATACACAGGAGAGGTAGACTGAGGAGTAGGGGAACTAAAGGGGTGAGGGACTGAAGGGTATGGGAACAAAGGGGTTATTGAAGGGTATGAGAACAAAGGGGGGAGGGACTGAAGGGGATGAGAACAAATTTGAAGGGGGGAGGGACTGAAGGGTATGGGAACTAAGGGGTGAGGGGCTGAAGGGTATGAGAACAAATTTGAAGGGGAGAGGGACTGAAGGGTATGGGAACAAAGGGGTTATTTAAGGGTATGAGAACAAAGGGGTGAGGGACTGAAGGGTATAAGAACAAATTTGAAGGGGTGAGGGACTGAAGGGAATGGGAACAAAGGGGTGAGGGATTGAAGGGTAAGGGAACTAAGGGGTGAGGGGTTGAAGTGTATGTGAACAAAGGAGTGAGGAACTGAAGGGTATGAGAACAAATTTGAAGGGGAGAGGGACTGAAGGGTATGAGAACAAAGGGGAGAGTGACTGGAGGGTATGGGAACAAAGGGGTGAGGGACTTAAGGGTATGAGAACAAAGGGGTGAGGGACTGAAGGGTATAAGAACAAATTTGAAGGGGTGAGGGACTGAAGGGTATGGGAACAAGGGGGTGAGGGACGTAAGGGTATGAGACCAAAGGGGTGAGGGACTGGAGGGTATGGGAACAAAGGGGGGAGGGACTGAAGGGTATGAGAACTAAGGGGTGAGGGACTGAAGGGAATGGGAACAAAGGGGTGAGGGACTGAAGGGAATGGGAACAAAGGGGTGAGGGATTGGAGGGTATGGGAACAAAGGGGTGAGGGACTTAAGGGTATGAGAACAAAGGGGTGAGGGATTGAAGGGCAAGTAAACTAAGGGGTGAGGGGTTGAAGTGTATGTGAACAAAGGAGTGAGGGACTGAAGGGTATGAGAACAAATTCGAAGGGGTGAGGGATTGAAGGGTATGGGAACAAAGGGGGGAGGGATTGAAGGGTAAGGGAGGGGACTCGTGCGTCACAGACAAGGGGTTATTGAAGGGTATGAGAACAAAGGGGGGAGGGACTGAAGGGTATGAGAACTAAGGGATGAGGGACTGAAGGGTATGAGAACAAATTCGAAGGGGGGAGGGACTGAAGGGGATGGGAACAAAGGGGTGAGGGATTGAAGGGAAAGTGAACTAAGGGTTGAGGGGTTGAAGTGTATGGGAACAAAGGGGTGAGGGACTGAAGGGAATGAGAACTAAGGGGTGAGGGACTGAAGGGGATGGGAACAAAGGGGTGAGGGATTGAAGGGGATGGGAACAAAGGGGTGAGGGACTGAAGGGAATGAGAACAAATTCAAAGGGGTGAGGGACTGAAGGGTATGGGAACAAATGGTGAGGGGGGTGAGGGACTGAAGGGTATGAGAACTAAGGGGTGAGGGACTGAAGGGTATGAGAACTAAGGGGTGAGGGACTGAAGGGTATGGGAACTAAGGGATGAGGGACTGAAGGGTATGGGAACAAAGGGGTTATTTAAGGGTATGAGAACAAAGGGGTGAGGGACTGAAGGGGATGGGGAACTAAGGGGTGAGGGATTGAAGGGTATGGGAACAGAGGGGGGAGGGATTGAAGGGTATGGGAACAAAGGGGTGAGGGATTGAAGGGAAAGTGAACTAAGGGTTGAGGGGTTGAAGTGTATGGGAACAAAGGAGTGAGGGACTGAAGAGTATGAGAACAAATTTGAAGGGGTGAGGGACTGAAGGGAATGGGAACAAAGGGGTGAGGGACTGAAGGGTATGAAAACTAAGGGGTGAGGGACTGAAGGGAATGGGAACAAAGGGGTGAGGGATTGAAGGGAAAGTGAACTAAGGGTTGAGGGGTTGAAGTGTATGGGAACAAAGGAGTGAGGGACTGAAGCGTATGAGAACAAATTTGAAGGGGTGAGGGACTGAAGGGAATGGGAACAAAGGGGTGAGGGATTGAAGGGAATGGGAACTAAGGGATGAGGGACTGAAGGGGATGAGAACAAAGGGGTGAGGGATTGAAGGGTATGGGAACAAGGGGGGAGGGATTGAAGGGTATGGGAACTAAGGGATGAGGGACTGGGTATGAGAACAAATTTGAAGGGGTGAGGGACTGAAGGGTATGAGAACTAATGGGTGAGGGACTGAAGGGTATGGGAACAAATGGTGAGGGATTGAAGGGTAGGGGAACAAAGGGCAAGGGACTGAAGGGTGAGGGACTGAAGGGTAGGGGAACTAAGGCGTGAGGGACTGAAGGGTATGGGAACAAATGGTGAGGGATTGAAGGGTAGGGGAACTAAGGGGTGAGGGACTGAAGGGTAAGGGAACAAAGGGGTGAGGGACTGAAGGGTATAAGAACAAATTTGAAGGGGTGAGGGACTGAAGGGTATGGGAACTAAGGGATGAGGGACTGAAGGGTATGGGAACAAATTCAAAGGGGGGAGGGACTGAAGGGTATGGGGAACTAAGGGGGGAGGGATTGATTGAAGGGTATGGGAACTAAGGGGTGAGGGACTGAAGGGTAGGGGAACAAATGGTGAGGGATTGATCAACTAAGGGGTGAGGGGTTGAAGTGTATGTGAACAAAGGAGTGAGGGACTGAAGGGTATGAGAACAAATTCGAAGGGGGGAGGGACTGAAGGGTATGGGGAACTAAGGGGGGAGGGATTGATTGAAGGGTATGGGAACTAAGGGGTGAGGGACTGAAGGGTAGGGGAACAAAGGGGTGAGGGACTGAAGGGTATGGGGAACTAAGGGGGGAGGGATTGATTGAAGGGTATGGGAACTAAGGGGTGAGGGGCTGAAGGGTATGAGAACAAATTTGAAGGGGAGAGGGACTGAAGGGTATGAGAACAAAGGGGTGAGGGATTGAAGGGTATGGGAACTAAGGGATGAGGGACTGAAGGGTATGAGAACAAATTCAAAGGGGTGAGGGACTGAAGGGTATGGGGAACTAAGGGGTGAGGGATTGAAGGGTATGGGAACAAAGGGGGGAGGGATTGAAGGGTATGGGAACTAAGGGGTGAAGGATTGAAGGGTATGGGGAACTAAGGGGTGAGGGACTGAAGGGTATGGGAACAAAGGGTGAGGGACTGAAGGGTAGGGGAACTAAGGGGTGAGGGACTGAAGGGTATGGGAACAAATGGTGAGGGATTGAAGGGTAGGGGATTTGAAGGGGAGAGGGACTGAAGGGTATGAAACAAAGGGGGGAGGGATTGAAGGGTATGGGAACTAAGGGGTGAAGGATTGAAGGGTATGGGGGACTAAGGGGTGAGGGACTGAAGGGTAGGGGAACAAAGGGGGGAGGGATTGAAGTGTAGGGGAACAAAGAGTGAGGGACTGAAGGGTAGGGGAACTAAGGGGTGAGGGACTGAAGGGTAGGGGAACAAAGGGGTGAGGGATTGAAGTGTAGGGGAACAAAGAGTGAGGGACTGAAGGGTAGGGGAACTAAGGGGTGAGGGACTGAAGGGTAGGGGAACTAAGGGGGGAGGGACTGAAGGGTATTGGAACGAAGGGGTCAGGGACTGAAGCGTAGTGGAACGAAGGGGTGAGGGACTGAAGGGAATTGGAACGAAGGGGTGAGGGACTGAAGGGTATTGGAACGAAGGGATGAGGGACTGAAGGGTAGGGGTTTGGAACCAGAGTTGTTTGTGTAATAGGGATGGACCTACCGGTAGTGATTTGATGTTCAAGCCTCGGCAAGGATTTTCAAGGACAGCATTATCATTTGCAGGTCTGTCAGTTTTTACCCTTGCAATATTCCATTCCAAAAAAAGACGGATCGGCTGGTCTGCATAAACAGACAGGCATGTAAACACCATTTGTTGGAAGGGGAGGGAACTGATACTTCATGTGCTGACTCGCACTATTAAGATACTTTAACAAATAAATATTGACGTCCAACTTTCTAAGTGGCAGAGAAATGATATTCTGTGATCGAGTGTAAAGACTTTTTTTTTGTTTGTTGCAGGCCTGAGTGAGCGAGACACTATGTTCAACTTTAAGCAGATCAAGCTGCAAACATTTGAGGGCCACAGTAGTAGTATCAGGTCACTGACTGTACTGGACAATGAAAACTCCTTCGTCACCGCCAGCAAGGACAAAACGGTCAAGCTCTGGTCCATCAAGAGCTATGGGGATGGTGCTCACAAGTATGTGAAGAAGAAAAGGATATTTTATTATGACTATTGATAGTATCATAATAGTATTTGTTTTGGAACAATAGAATTGTTAATGTTTCTTGTGTCTTGTAATTTTTTCATTTAGGTATTCACATCATAGCTGCAACTTTAAACTGCAATATGTATGCTACTTTTACTTCATTTGCAAATTTCACATTTTATTTTACATTGTTGGCATCACCACATATTTTTGAGCATGTATGTTCATCCTCAGATATTTGAAATGAAGTCAACATTCTGTGTCAGTAGGTAGTTTGTAAAGCTTTTGATGCCATTCAATTACACTATTTTCTGTCCCGTATTGTTTTCTGTACTTGAAAGTAAAACCAAACATATTTGTGTCAGGAGCAGGTGTCAGTGGACCTATCAACAGCACAAGAAGTCAGTGTTCTCTGTAGCCTACCTCGAGTCTGTGCGACTTGTAGCATCCTGTGATAGCACCGTCCATGTAAGTAGGTCATGAACACTGCAATATCATCAAGTCCTCGTTAAGGGAACTGTTGTAGGAGTAATTTTGAAAGGAGAAGGAAAATCATGCTGTGTAAACCTGTTCAATGATACAGCTGTTAATGGATATGGACACATTACCCATTCACCCCTAAAGTCACGTTAGAATCTTACCAAAATCAAAGACTGATTTTATTTTAATAAAATCTATCTATTTATATGGGAAATTTCATCCACAATAAGGTTTATTATCTGGAATGTAGTATTTAATCTGTATGTTTTGTTATTTCAGTAGCTAATACTTACTTTGATTGATCTAGATCTGGGACCCGTTTACGGGAGATGTAGTTCGGCGCCTTGAGTCAACCCGTTACAGCCCTGTGACAGCCCTAATTCCATGTCCCTCACCGAGTACCATGATCATCACCGCCACTAATGACTCCACCCTAAGGTAGTATTGACCAATCTCAGTAAACTTGTTCCAACAAGTCTTTTGCTTACGGTAACTGTGTGTATTTGTGTATGCTTTGTTATATTAACTGATGAATTTTACCTGAACCACTGAAAAAGTAGCACAGAATCAATACAGAAGATTAACATAAAAACAGTCCTATTTGGTACAACATCCTGTCCTGCTATGTTCAATGAGATGGCATTGTTAATTTTATAACAATTAAGTATTGGCTGTAAATATTGGAAAAGTCAGGTTTGATTGGTTTGGTAAATGGTTTCATGCAATTTGTTTGTTGTACATTAATGTTTACGTTTTGTATCCATCAGGTTTCTGGACCTACGAGCAGCTAGCTATGCCCACGAGTACAAGTGTACGACCAGCACAGCAGGTACTTCAAAGACATGTTCCTTGATGCCTCTTATTTAGGAGATGTAGTCTAGTACCTAGACATCGCCAGCATTGAATGAATATCTCATCTGTATGAATTTACAAACATTCTTATACCTTGGGTCAAGGTTTTTCATTTCCCTTAATATTACCATAATGCAGAAATGCACTTTATCTTGTTTAATACATAACCATTATATGTAAAGTAAGGCTGTATTTTTCAAGATTTTATTTGCTGTGTTTATTGCATTGTCTGAGTTAGACATGCATGGACAGCTGTGCAATAGTCGATCTTGTCTGATTGTTGTGTTAAATATGTGGTAGTCTGTGCTTGAAAAAGATTCTCTGTGTTGAGTGTTATTTTATTTGTTGGACAGGCCTGATTCGCTGTGTTGAGTGTTATTTTATTTGTTGGACAGGCCTGATTCGCTGTGTGACTGTCAGTCCAGACAGCCATTGGGTGTGTGTAGGATTTTCCTCAGGAATATTGTCCCTCCTGGACCTGCGTACTGGCATAATGATGAAGTCCTGGAAAGGTCACGAAGGCGACATCTTACAGGTAGGCAAACTTATTTTTATTTCAGCCGAAAGGAGGAAGTATGATAAGCAAGGAAGATGTCCTAAATGTGTTTTCTGAAGAAAAACAAAGAGATGTTTTTGTTAATTTTAAAGAATGATAGCAGTGTTGAACAAAAATTGCTGATCAAGGGAGGTAACGTAGGAATTGCCAAAAAATATATACGCTTTCTCATGAACATAATAGATTTTAAATATGAGCAGGTTCATGCTACACAATCCAGTTCCTGGTAATGTGTGGTAATGTAGGTTTAAGACCGACCTGTTCAAAAGATGGATACCCATATGACGGTTTTTGTTAATACCTTCATTTCAAGATTTTCTCCTGTTAATGCTTCAGTACCTTGCCTATATTGTGACTGGACAGCTAAATTCTTGAAGTTTTTATGAAAGGGGGATCAATCTTTACATTTTTAACATTACAGCTTAAACTTTTGAGAAACTCTTGGGCCAAATGATATTTTACATTACCTTGTCCTTTGGATGTGTATTTAGTACTGGTATGTAAAACATCAGCAGAGGGAGGATGACTGGACATTTGATTATGTTTACTCCTTGAAGTGTTCTATATTTCTCATTATTTTCTCCACAGATGAAGGCATACAATAAAACCACCTTCCTCACCTCGTCTTTCGACCAGACCATGAAGATCTGGAACACGGAGGACACTAAGGACCTTCCCTGTCTAAAGGGTGAGCAAATACTGATACCCTCTGAGAGGGCCATGTGTTATATACTAACCTGTGTAAAGGGTGAGCTAATACTGATACCCACTGATAGGGCCATGTGTTATATACTTACCTGTGTAAAGGGTGAGCTAATACTGATACCCTCTGATAGGGCCATGTGTTATATACTTACCTGTGTAAAGGGTGAGCTAATACTGATACTCTCTGATAGGGCCATGTGTTATATACTTACCTGTGTAAAGGGTGAGCTAATACTGATACTCTCTGATAGGGCCATGTGTTATATACTTACCTGTGTAAAGGGTGAGCTAATACTGATACTCTCTGATAGGGCCATGTGTTATATACTTACCTGTGTAAAGGGTGAGCTAATACTGATACTCTCTGATAGGGCCATGTGTTATATACTTACCTGTGTAAAGGGTGAGCTAATACTGATACTCTCTGATAGGGCCATGTGTTATATACTTACCTGTGTAAAGGGTGAGCTAATACTGATACTCTCTGATAGGGCCATGTGTTATATACTTACCTGTGTAAAGGGTGAGCTAATACTGATACTCTCTGATAGGGCCATGTGTTATATACTTACCTGTGTAAAGGGTGAGCTAATACTGATACTCTCTGATAGGGCCATGTGTTATATACTTACCTGTGTAAAGGGTGAGCTAATACTGATACTCTCTGATAGGGCCATGTGTTATATACTTACCTGTGTAAAGGGTGAGCTAATACTGATACTCTCTGATAGGGCCATGTGTTATATACTTACCTGTGTAAAGGGTGAGCTAATACTGATACTCTCTGATAGGGCCATGTGTTATATACTTACCTGTGTAAAGGGTGAGCTAATACTGATACTCTCTGATAGGGCCATGTGTTATATACTTACCTGTGTAAAGGGTGAGCTAATACTGATACTCTCTGATAGGGCCATGTGTTATATACTTACCTGTGTAAAGGGTGAGCTAATACTGATACTCTCTGATAGGGCCATGTGTTATATACTTACCTGTGTAAAGGGTGAGCTAATACTGATACTCTCTGATAGGGCCATGTGTTATATACTTACCTGTGTAAAGGGTGAGCTAATACTGATACTCTCTGATAGGGCCATGTGTTATATACTTACCTGTGTAAAGGGTGAGCTAATACTGATACTCTCTGATAGGGCCATGTGTTATATACTTACCTGTGTAAAGGGTGAGCTAATACTGATACTCTCTGATAGGGCCATGTGTTATATACTTACCTGTGTAAAGGGTGAGCTAATACTGATACTCTCTGATAGGGCCATGTGTTATATACTTACCTGTGTAAAGGGTGAGCTAATACTGATACTCTCTGATAGGGCCATGTGTTATATACTTACCTGTGTAAAGGGTGAGCTAATACTGATACTCTCTGATAGGGCCATGTGTTATATACTTACCTGTGTAAAGGGTGAGCTAATACTGATACTCTCTGATAGGGCCATGTGTTATATACTTACCTGTGTAAAGGGTGAGCTAATACTGATACTCTCTGATAGGGCCATGTGTTATATACTTACCTGTGTAAAGGGTGAGCTAATACTGATACTCTCTGATAGGGCCATGTGTTATATACTTACCTGTGTAAAGGGTGAGCTAATACTGATACTCTCTGATAGGGCCATGTGTTATATACTTACCTGTGTAAAGGGTGAGCTAATACTGATACTCTCTGATAGGGCCATGTGTTATATACTTACCTGTGTAAAGGGTGAGCTAATACTGATACTCTCTGATAGGGCCATGTGTTATATACTTACCTGTGTAAAGGGTGAGCTAATACTGATACTCTCTGATAGGGCCATGTGTTATATACTTACCTGTGTAAAGGGTGAGCTAATACTGATACTCTCTGATAGGGCCATGTGTTATATACTTACCTGTGTAAAGGGTGAGCTAATACTGATACTCTCTGATAGGGCCATGTGTTATATACTTACCTGTGTAAAGGGTGAGCTAATACTGATACTCTCTGATAGGGCCATGTGTTATATACTTACCTGTGTAAAGGGTGAGCTAATACTGATACTCTCTGATAGGGCCATGTGTTATATACTTACCTGTGTAAAGGGTGAGCTAATACTGATACTCTCTGATAGGGCCATGTGTTATATACTTACCTGTGTAAAGGGTGAGCTAATACTGATACTCTCTGATAGGGCCATGTGTTATATACTTACCTGTGTAAAGGGTGAGCTAATACTGATACTCTCTGATAGGGCCATGTGTTATATACTTACCTGTGTAAAGGGTGAGCTAATACTGATACTCTCTGATAGGGCCATGTGTTATATACTTACCTGTGTAAAGGGTGAGCTAATACTGATACTCTCTGATAGGGCCATGTGTTATATACTTACCTGTGTAAAGGGTGAGCTAATACTGATACTCTCTGATAGGGCCATGTGTTATATACTTACCTGTGTAAAGGGTGAGCTAATACTGATACTCTCTGATAGGGCCATGTGTTATATACTTACCTGTGTAAAGGGTGAGCTAATACTGATACTCTCTGATAGGGCCATGTGTTATATACTTACCTGTGTAAAGGGTGAGCTAATACTGATACTCTCTGATAGGGCCATGTGTTATATACTTACCTGTGTAAAGGGTGAGCTAATACTGATACTCTCTGATAGGGCCATGTGTTATATACTTACCTGTGTAAAGGGTGAGCTAATACTGATACTCTCTGATAGGGCCATGTGTTATATACTTACCTGTGTAAAGGGTGAGCTAATACTGATACTCTCTGATAGGGCCATGTGTTATATACTTACCTGTGTAAAGGGTGAGCTAATACTGATACTCTCTGATAGGGCCATGTGTTATATACTTACCTGTGTAAAGGGTGAGCTAATACTGATACTCTCTGATAGGGCCATGTGTTATATACTTACCTGTGTAAAGGGTGAGCTAATACTGATACTCTCTGATAGGGCCATGTGTTATATACTTACCTGTGTAAAGGGTGAGCAAATACTGATACTCTCTGATAGGGCCATGTGTTATATACTTACCTGTGTAAAGGGTGAGCAAATACTGATACTCTCTGATAGGGCCATGTGTTATATACTTACCTGTGTAAAGGGTGAGCAAATACTGATACTCTCTGATAGGGCCATGTGTTATATACTTACCTGTGTAAAGGGTGAGCAAATACTGATACTCTCTGATAGGGCCATGTGTTATATACTTACCTGTGTAAAGGGTGAGCAAATACTGATACTCTCTGATAGGGCCATGTGTTATATACTTACCTGTGTAAAGGGTGAGCAAATACTGATACTCTCTGATAGGGCCATGTGTTATATACTTACCTGTGTAAAGGGTGAGCAAATACTGATACTCTCTGATAGGGCCATGTGTTATATACTTACCTGTGTAAAGGGTGAGCAAATACTGATACTCTCTGATAGGGCCATGTGTTATATACTTACCTGTGTAAAGGGTGAGCAAATACTGATACTCTCTGATAGGGCCATGTGTTATATACTTACCTGTGTAAAGGGTGAGCAAATACTGATACTCTCTGATAGGGCCATGTGTTATATACTTACCTGTGTAAAGGGTGAGCAAATACTGATACTCTCTGATAGGGCCATGTGTTATATACTTACCTGTGTAAAGGGTGAGCAAATACTGATACTCTCTGATAGGGCCATGTGTTATATACTTACCTGTGTAAAGGGTGAGCAAATACTGATACTCTCTGATAGGGCCATGTGTTATATACTTACCTGTGTAAAGGGTGAGCAAATACTGATACTCTCTGATAGGGCCATGTGTTATATACTTACCTGTGTAAAGGGTGAGCAAATACTGATACTCTCTGATAGGGCCATGTGTTATATACTTACCTGTGTAAAGGGTGAGCAAATACTGATACTCTCTGATAGGGCCATGTGTTATATACTTACCTGTGTAAAGGGTGAGCAAATACTGATACTCTCTGATAGGGCCATGTGTTATATACTTACCTGTGTAAAGGGTGAGCAAATACTGATACTCTCTGATAGGGCCATGTGTTATATACTTACCTGTGTAAAGGGTGAGCAAATACTGATACTCTCTGATAGGGCCATGTGTTATATACTTACCTGTGTAAAGGGTGAGCAAATACTGATACTCTCTGATAGGGCCATGTGTTATATACTTACCTGTGTAAAGGGTGAGCAAATACTGATACTCTCTGATAGGGCCATGTGTTATATACTTACCTGTGTAAAGGGTGAGCAAATACTGATACTCTCTGATAGGGCCATGTGTTATATACTTACCTGTGTAAAGGGTGAGCAAATACTGATACTCTCTGATAGGGCCATGTGTTATATACTTACCTGTGTAAAGGGTGAGCAAATACTGATACTCTCTGATAGGGCCATGTGTTATATACTTACCTGTGTAAAGGGTGAGCAAATACTGATACTCTCTGATAGGGCCATGTGTTATATACTTACCTGTGTAAAGGGTGAGCAAATACTGATACTCTCTGATAGGGCCATGTGTTATATACTTACCTGTGTAAAGGGTGAGCAAATACTGATACTCTCTGATAGGGCCATGTGTTATATACTTACCTGTGTAAAGGGTGAGCAAATACTGATACTCTCTGATAGGGCCATGTGTTATATACTTACCTGTGTAAAGGGTGAGCAAATACTGATACTCTCTGATAGGGCCATGTGTTATATACTTACCTGTGTAAAGGGTGAGCAAATACTGATACTCTCTGATAGGGCCATGTGTTATATACTTACCTGTGTAAAGGGTGAGCAAATACTGATACTCTCTGATAGGGCCATGTGTTATATACTTACCTGTGTAAAGGGTGAGCAAATACTGATACTCTCTGATAGGGCCATGTGTTATATACTTACCTGTGTAAAGGGTGAGCAAATACTGATACTCTCTGATAGGGCCATGTGTTATATACTTACCTGTGTAAAGGGTGAGCAAATACTGATACTCTCTGATAGGGCCATGTGTTATATACTTACCTGTGTAAAGGGTGAGCAAATACTGATACTCTCTGATAGGGCCATGTGTTATATACTTACCTGTGTAAAGGGTGAGCAAATACTGATACTCTCTGATAGGGCCATGTGTTATATACTTACCTGTGTAAAGGGTGAGCAAATACTGATACTCTCTGATAGGGCCATGTGTTATATACTTACCTGTGTAAAGGGTGAGCAAATACTGATACTCTCTGATAGGGCCATGTGTTATATACTTACCTGTGTAAAGGGTGAGCAAATACTGATACTCTCTGATAGGGCCATGTGTTATATACTTACCTGTGTAAAGGGTGAGCAAATACTGATACTCTCTGATAGGGCCATGTGTTATATACTTACCTGTGTAAAGGGTGAGCAAATACTGATACTCTCTGATAGGGCCATGTGTTATATACTTACCTGTGTAAAGGGTGAGCAAATACTGATACCCTATGATAGACCCATGTGTTATATACTTACCTGTGTAAATGGTGAGCTAATACTGATACCCTCTGATAGGGCCATGTGTTATATACTTACCTGTGTAAAGGGTGAGCAAATACTGATACTCTCTGATAGAGCCATTTGTTATACACTAACCTGTGTAAATGGTGAGCTAATACTGATACTCTTTGATAGGGACATGTGTTATATACTTACCTGTGTAAAGGGTGAGCTAATACTGATACCCTCTGATAGGGCAATGTGTTATATACTTACCTGTGTAATGGTGAGCTAATACTGATACTCTTTGATAGGGACATGTGATATATACTTACCTGTGTAAAGGGTGAGAAAATTCTGATACCCTCTGATAGGGTCGTGTGTTATATACTTACCTGTGTAAAGAGTGAGCAAATACTCTAATACTGATACTCTCTGATAGGGCCATGAGTTATATACTTACCTGTGTAAAGAGTGAGCAAATACTGATACCCTATGATAGACCCTTATGTTATATACTTACCTGTGTAAAGAGTGAGCAAATACTCTAATACTGATACTCTCTGATAGGGCCACGTGTTATATACTTACCTGCGTAAAGGGTGAGCAAATACTGATCCTCTCTGATAGAGCCATTTGTTATACACTAACCTGTGTAAGTGGTGAGCTAATACTGATACTCTTTGATAGGGACATGTGATATATACTTACCTGTGTAAAGGGTGAGCTAAAACTGATACCCTCTGATAGGGCCATGTGTTATATTCTTACCTGTGTAAAGGGTGAGAAAATTCTGCTACCCTCTGATAGGGTCATTTGTTATATACTTACCTGTGTAAATGGTGAACTAATACTGATACTCTCTGATAGGGCCATGTGTAATATACTTACCTGTGTAAAGGGTGAGCTAAAACTGATACCCTCTGATAGGGCCATGTGTTATATTCTTACCTGTGTAAAGGGTGAGCAAATACTGATACTTTCTGATAGAGCCATGTGTTATATACTTACCTGTGTAAAGAGTGAGCAAATACTGATACCCTCTGATAGGGCCATGTGTTATATACTTACCTGTGTAAATGGGGACCTAATCCTGATACTCTCTGATGGGGCCATCTGCTATATACTTACCTGTGTAAAGGGGGAGCAAATACTAATACTCTCTGATAGGGCCATGAGTTATATACTTACCTGTGTAAAGAGGGAGCAAATACTGATACCCTCTGATAGGGCCATGTGTTATATACTTACCTGTGTAAATGGGGACCTAATCCTGATACTCTCTGATGGGGCCATGTGTTATATAGTTACCTGTGTAAAGGGTGAGCTAATACTGATACTCTCTGATAGAGTCCTGTGTTATATACTTACCTGTATGTTAATTCTGTCTACATTGAAGTTTTGTTTTATATACTTAGCTGTTTACTGATATCCTCTAATGGAGCTTTGTTTTACCTGTATTCAAAGATACCAGTTAATCGGTTCAAGACACGAAATTGTGTTGACAATGGTCTGAACTATGTTTGTTATGTGTTACAGGTCAGAGTGAACCAGTTCATTGCATGTCTCTCTACAAAAACCAAATCATCTCAGGAACTACGGGCAACAAAATTGGTGTCCATGCCTCCATAGAAAACCAGGTTAGTTCAGGGTTAAATGTTTGAAGTGTAGATGAGATTACTGAAGTTCATCGTTTAAATCCATGAGGAGTACTGGGTAGATAAGGTAACACAATGCCAGTGTTGAAATCAGTGAGAAGTACAGTTACATAGCAAAAAGAAGTATGTCGTCAGATTTACCACCTTTGTTTATAATAATAGGAAATGACTCTAAAAGCACTATTTCAATTTTTTCAGATGGATCTTTCAACTTTAATTTTCTGTTTTTCCTCCATAGGGTTCCTTTACCGTTACCAAACTGAAGGCTGACACTTTTAAAGGTGTCTTGACGAGTATGGCTATCCTACCGATGAACAGGACTGTATTACTAGGGGCTGACAATGGTAGTGTCCGGCTGCTTTGTTAAACACGATCTTATACCGGGACTGTCAATGGGAATGTCTCTCTGCTGTGTTATACAGAACCATATATTCAGGCCAACAATGAAAGTGTACATCTGCTATGTTTGACTGGACTCGAACTTTGCCTGACCAATGTAGTGTCTATAAAGTCTGGTGGCACAACCATACCACTACTATTAGCAGGATAACAAGGGGCTGACCATCGCAGAATTGTTTCAGCTCTACAGTCCCTCACCACAAACTCATTCTGTTGTCTGGAGTTTCTAGACTCTAACTTTAAAAAAAATAATATGAAGACTGGAGTCTTTAGATTTTAACCTAGAACTTAATGTTTGGTCTAGTCTCTAGATTCTAGCCTGAAACTTAATATGAAGTCTGGAGTCTCTAGATTCTAACCTAAAACTTAATATGAAGACTGGAGTCTAGATTTTAACCTAGAACTTAATGTTTAGTCTAGAGTCTCTAGATTCTAGCCTGAAACTTAATATGAAGTCTAGATTCTCTAGATTCTAACCTGAAACTTAATATGAAGTCTGGAGTCACTAGATTCTAACCTGAAACTTAATATGAAGTCTGGAGTCACTAGATTCTAACCTGAAACTTAATATGAAGTCTGGAGTCTCTAGATTCTAACCTGAAACTTAATATGAAAACTGGAATCTTAAGATTTTAACCTAGAACTTAATGTTTAGTCTAGTCTCTAGATTCTAACCTGAAACTTAATATGAAGTCTGGAGTCACTAGATTCTAACCTGAAACTTAATATGAAGTCTGGAGTCACTAGATTTTAACCTAGAACTTAATAAGAAGTCTGGAGTCTTTAGACTCTTAAATTAATGTGAAGTCTGGAATCTCAAGATTCTAACCTAAAACGTCATGTGTAGTTTTGGGTCTCTAGAACTTTATTTGTAATCTGGTCTCTAGACTGTTAACCAGATTTTTTGTTTGTTTCTAGCTGCAAATTGCTAGACTCTTACCCATTTTAATGTGTTATAAATAGAAGACCTCAGAACCCTTCACACAAACTCAAAACAGAAATCAGATAATTGTGTGATCTACCTGTGATAGAGGCCAGGTGTTAGTGTGACCTACCTGTGATAGAGGCAAGGTATTGCTGTAACCCACCTGTGATTGAGGCCAGGTGTTGATGTGACCTTCTTGTGATTGAGGCCAGGTGGTGATGGGACCTACCTGTGATTGAGGCCAGGTGTTAGTGTGACCTACCTGTGATTGAGGCCAGGTGTTAGTGTGACCTACCTGTAGTTGAGACTAGGTGTTGATGTGACCTACCTGTGATTGAGACCAGGTATTAGTGTGACCTACCTGTGATTGAGGCCAGGTATTAGTGTGACCTACCTGTAGTTGAGACTAGGTGTTGATGTGATCTACCTGTGATTGAGACCAGTTGTTGATCATGTGACATCAGACTCCACTCTTTTATCTTCAAGTTGTGAATGTGCAATGTACTTAACAACACCTGTCATCTGACAAGTTGTCTACATAATAAAATATTCATCCATAAACCTGTACCAACTGCTTACCAGTGCTGTATTGGGTACAGATATGGAACTAGTGTAGAGGTCATTACTGATCCAACAGAGATCAAATAATGTTTTGTAAATGTTGTCTTGTGCCAAAGCAAACGTTATGTTGCAAACAGTCAATATTTTTATGTTACGATTATTTCTTGAGAAAGCTTTTTGATTTGTATATTTTTGCTGTAAATTATTGTACGAGGATGGGTGATGTTTATGTGTTTCATGTGTGTGAAAGGCCAGTGTTTTTTTACTGTACAATAATACTCAGTTATATCAGCTCTGTAAGCACACTTACCAAACCATTAACTGAACAATCATCAAACTGCTCTACCTACCTATACCGACCAAAGATTATCTTACGTGTATTTTGTTGTGCTATCTGTATAATGTTATGTTTCTGAATGGTCATCACATACATTCTGTTGGCTTATTAAAAGTGACAGTGTCTAGTCTGTGATGGGAGTGCCAGTTCTGGAGAATACTCTGCAAAGTCAACCTGCTATTTAATGTTCTTTAATACGACACAACTTTATGTTTTTAATAAGTCAATGCTTGTGAAATACCAGTTCAACAAAAAATAAAATGGAGAACTTTTTTAATTGACTGTCTATATGTTATACTACACAGAGACCAGAATGACTTTACTACTGATGGGGTTAACTATGCATGCAGTACTATGAACCAATGTTGATGTGTTTGTCTTTTAATTATTTTTTAGGTCACCTGAGCTTTAGCTCAAGTGACCTATTGCTATCCGTTTTCGTCCGTCGTCGTCCGTCGTCCGTCGTCCGTCGTACGTCGTCCGTCGTCCGTCGTCCGTCGTCCGTTAACATTTTACATTTCAAACTTAAAGTCAAGTTCTGCTGGGCCGATTGAACTGAAAGTTGATAGGAATGATCGCCTCATGGTCCTGACAAAGTGTTGTTATTTTTCGGGTCGATCAGAAATCCAATATGGCCGCCACGGCCGCCATTTTGAAAACCTATTTCAAACTTAAAGTCAAGTTCTGCTGGACCGATTGAACTTAAAGTTTGTAGGAATGATCGACTCATGGTCCTGACAAAGTGTTGTTATTTTTCAGGTCAATCATAAATCCAATATGGCCGCCACGGCCACCATTTTGAAAACATATTTCAAACTTAAAGTCAAGTTCTGCTAGGCCGATTGAACTGAAACTTTGTAGGAATGATTGACTCATGGTCCTGACAAAGTGTTGTTATTTTTCAGGTCGATCAGAAATCCAATATGGCCACCACAGCTGCCATTTTGGTAAACTATTTCAAACTTAAAGTAAAGATCTACTTGGCCGATTGAACTGAAACTTTGTAGGAATGATCGAATCATGGTCCTGACAAAGTGTTGTTATTTTTCGGGTCAATCAGAAATACAATTTGGCTGCCATGGCCGCTATTTTGCTACTAAGTTCTAATAGGCCGATCTCACTTAAAATTGGTCTAGGAATGATCAGCTCATGGTCCTGACAAAGTTAAGTTAACATTATACTATTTTTTACTCAAATTGGTACATATTTCAACAACAAAAATAAATACTATAGACTCAGGTGACCGTTAAGGCCCATGGGCCTCTTGTTTTTACTGAAGTTATAAATAAATGCATACTTGTTTCAGGTTTGTTAGATATGTACAGATCAGCATTATGATGTAGCCTTGAACAATGAGCCATGAACATTTTGGGTTAAATGACATTTCAGGGTGAGATTTTAAGCTTGATTTAAGACCGGAAGGGATATTTTAATGACACTTGTATGTCCATCAGCCTACGTTATTTCTAAACAGTAACATATATGACATTATATGTTCCCTAAAATGGCTCAATTTAACTCAAACTTCCAAAGGACTTTCTTGCTGTTAGTGCTTGCTTTGGATTGCTTTACATGTCATAGTTGGTGTCACTGTTAGTAAAATAAAAACAATAAAACAGTGTTTACACACAATAACTTAAAACTTTAAATTCATGCATGGCTTCCTTGCCCTAATACTTAGTTGAGTTCCCTTTTCAAGTCAAATGTCAGTGCCACTTTAAATAAATTAGAAACTCATTTCCCACACAACATTTCATTAGGTTCAATGGAATACTAAACTTTATGCATGGCATATTTGCCATGAGTAGTTTAATTTTAGTCTCTGATGCTACATTAGAAATAATTGGATGTTATTCAAGGAAACACTACAGTATAATAGATATGCACTAATGTTTTTTATCAGTCAAGAAAGGAATATGCACAGCTATAAAGTACACAATCAATGAACAGTTGTATTCATATACAAATTTATCATATGTAGCGGAACTGGACTAGGTTGATCGTCGGCAACCAGGTAGCTCAATTGGTAGAGCATCCGTCTCGAGTTGGGAGGGTTCGGCCGTGCATTGATCCATCTCATGTTACACATATAACCATGTACATTGATTCACTGATCATTGCAATATCCTCCAATGTTTGACCACTTACATATTGTCTTCCTTCAAAATCTAACCTAATGGATAATCCTGTAGTACAGCTGTCTGATAAGATAGCTTTATTACTTTTAGTAAGAGGACTTCCTGTCTGTAACGCGGACAGCTGCCAAGTCCAGTTACTCAAAAACAGAAAGGTGTTCCAAGTAAAATCAAAGCTTTGAAAACAGTAGAAAAACTTTTATTGTATCTTTTCTTTTGTTATTTTATTATAATGCAGCTATAACACAACTATCAACATGATGACATTTTTACCATTATGACATAGGATTTTATCAGTTTGATAGAAGTGATATCTAGCCAGTCTGATTACTGACCAATGGGAACCCTCTGTACACCATGACACATAATGGACACAGCTATAATGCCTGTACAGATTGGGTCGAAGCGTGAGCAAAGTTATCTGCTCCTGATCACTGCGCCTACTGTATATATATATATATGGGTAGACAGACAAAATCAACAAATCAAATTGACTTCATTATTGCTAAATATTTGAAGCCTTACAGCCATTTTCAGACTTTATTTGCTTTTTTTATCTGATCAGGTTAAGCAATGGTTACCTGTGTTGATTAGATAGAGCAGTTGTGAATGGTTACCTGTGTTGGTTAGATAGAGCATTTGGGAATGGTTACCTGTGTTGGTTAGTATATGGGTAGACAGACAAAATCAACAAATCAAATTGACTCCATTATTGCTAAATATTTGAAGCCTTACAGCCATTTTCAGACTTTATTTGCTTTTTTATCTGATCAGGTTAAGCAATGGTTACCTGTGTTGATTAGATAGAGCAGGTGTAAATGGTTACCTGTGTTGATTAGATATAGCAGTTGTGAATGGTTACCTGTGTCGATTAGATAGAGCAGTTGTGAATGCTTACCCGTGTTGGTTAGATAGAGCAGTTGTGGATGGTTACCTGGGTTGGTTAGATAGAGCAGTTGTGGATGGTTACCTGTGTTTATTTGATAGAGCAGTTGTGAATGGTTAAATGTGTTGATTAGATAGAGCAGTTGTGAATGCTTACCTGTGTTGGTTAGATAGAGGAGTTGTGAATGGTTACCTGTGTTGATTATATAGAGCAGTTGTGAATGGTTACATGTGTTGGTTAGATAGAGCAGTTTTGAATGGTTACCTGTGTTGATTAGATATAGCAGTTGTGAATGGTTACCTGTGATGGTTAGATAGAGCAGTTGTGAATCGTTACCTGTGTTGGTTAGATAGATCAGTTGTGAATGGTTACCTGTGTCGATAAGATAGAGCAGGTGTGAATGGTTACCTGTGTTGATGAGATAGAGCAGTTGTGAATGGTTACCCGTGTTGATTAGATAGAGCAGTTGTGGATGGTTACCTGGGTTGGTTAGATAGAGCAGTTGTGGATGGTTACCTGTGTTGGTTAGATAGGGCAGTTGTGAATGGTTACCTGTGATGGTTAGATAGAGCAGTTGTTAATGGTTACCTGTGTTGGTTAGATAGGGCAGTTGTGAATGGTTACCTGTGATGGTTAGATAGAGCAGTTGTTAATGGTTACCTGTGTTGGTTAGATAGATCAGTTGTGAATGGTTACCTGTGTCGATAAGATAGAGCAGGTGTGAATGGTTACCTGTGTTGATAAGATAGAGCAGTTGTGAATGGTTAAATGTGTTGATTAGATAGAGCAGTTTTGAATGGTTACCTGTGTTGATTATATAGAGCAGTTGTGAATGGTTACCTGGGTTGATTAGATAGAGCAGTTGTGGATGGTTACCTGTGTTGGTTAGATAGATCAGTTGTGAATGGTTACCTGTGTCGATAAGATAGAGCAGGTGTGAATGGTTACCTGTGTTGATTATATAGAGCAGTTGTGAATGGTTACATGTGTTGGTTAGATAGAGCAGTTGTGGATGGTTACCTGGGTTGGTTAGATAGAGCAGTTGTGGATGGTTACCTGTGTTTATTTGATAGAGCAGTTGTGAATGGTTACCTGGGTTGATTAGATAGAGCAGTTGTGTATGGTTACCTGTGTTGATTAGATATAGCAGTTGTGAATGGTTACCTGTGGTGATTAGATAGAGCAGTTGTGAATGCTTACCCGTGTTGGTTAGATAGAGCAGTTGTGGATGGTTACCTGTGTTGGTTAGATAGAGGAGTTGTGAATGGTTACCTGTGTTGATGAGATAGAGCAGTTGTGAATGGTTACCCGTGTTGATTAGATAGAGCAGTTGTGGATGGTTACCTGTGTTTATTTGATAGAGCAGTTGTGAATGGTTACCTGGGTTGGTTAGATAGAGCAGTTGTGGATGGTTACCTGTGTTGGTTAGATAGATCAGTTGTGAATGGTTACCTGTGTCGATAAGATAGAGCAGGTGTGAATGGTTACCTGTGTTGATGAGATAGAGCAGTTGTG